AAGTTTTGAAGTAGGGGTTACCAGGTTAGATCTTTACTATGTAATATTTTCATGACAAATGTAAAAATCAGGATTATATTAAGTTTTGTCAGAGATGGAAAAGCATCTCAGCAGGATTCACATTTCTTTACTAAAGCAACGGTCACATCAAACTACCCAAAACAAAGAGCCAGCAGCTGACAGGGACAAGATGGAGAACTGACATCCAGGTTTTCATCTGTACTTTCGGTTGACAAGTCTTGCAAAAGAAGGAAAAAAATAAAAAAAAGAAAGAAAAAAAAAATCCGTGCGCCTTTTCTGTGTATCAGCAGAGTTAATAAAAAAGGTGATTCAGCATGAAAGTAAGTGGCAGAAGCAGCCTCCCCAAAAAGTGGTGTTAATTTCCCATGGTGAGGCTGTTTAAACTCAAATGTTATTCATGTGACAGCTCACAGATAATCTTCCTGCTCTTCAACGTGACCTTTTGATTGCCAGCAGTACTATTGTATTTTGCTCATTTTGGTGCCCCTACCTTCACTGTTCTTGGGTGCAACCATCTCTCTTGGAAAGGCAGGACTCTGAAATCCCCTCTGTGATGGCTTTAGCTCTGTGGTACAACTTGTCATTGGACAAAGCAGGTTGGGGTTTCTTTTTTCTTTTAATTTGTGGAAGGAAACAACATGTTTCTCCTGAGTTTTCTCTTCCAGGTTGTTTGTTTCTCCTATCACTACTATGGCTCAAAACTTCTGGGCAGCAGAAGCACCTTTACTGCTGCCAATAAAAGTTTTGCAGGCTTTCAGCTCATGGGAATCCTTTTGTTTTTCCTGGGAAACCTGCCACAACCAGCCAACATCTCATAGGCAGAGGCACTCATCCACATGAGGCCATGCATGTTTATGAGCTGTACTGCAGTGAGCAGCTGCTCTGGGGACTGACTCTCATGTGAAGGTTGGCAGAGACTCCTGTGGCCACTCCTTCACCGACTTCAATCACAACTCACTGGTTTGTGCTTGGGTCTCCCCCCACCCACCCGGTCCTTCTCCTCATATCCACTAGAGGGATACCTAAGAGCACAGGAACAAGGACATTTCCTCTGCCCCTAACCCCCCAGTGCCGCATGCTGCCGCCTTTGGTCACAGTGGTTAGGACCTTATTTTTTGAGTACTTGCAGCCACAACTTAGGATAATTCATTGTAAATCGCTAATTAGTTAGAGAGACGGTCAGAAATGCGCTTATTGCTGAAGACTGTGTGACAACACGGCATTTTTCCATATATTCCAAATACTCAGGCAGCCTAAATTTCTCTGTCTGAAAGAGGCACAAGTACACATTTAAGAGTGGGGAAAAAACAGTAAGAGGCCCAAAGAAGTAGATGATGTCTAGCTGGAAGAAGTGGGAGAGGTGATAGAGGGACGCCAGAAATTTCTTAGCTACTTCCAAGCCGGAGTAGCCTGCATGTTTCAATGCCTACTGAAAATAACAGAAATATTCCTCAAAACTACACAGGAACCTGAACAAAACTTCTGGAGTCTTTACAGAGTATGGGATAAGAATAGAAACAGTGAACTCTTTGGCATTTATCACAGCCAGCAAGGAACTGATAATTCAAAAGAATCTTTTACTATCTGTTGGAGAAAACTCTAGTTTGTTATTGAATGCAAAGCAAGAAGGAAACATTTCTGCATTGTAGATTCAAATTTTGTTGAATCTGTGCAAAAGAATATATTAAGGCCAATATGGACTTAGCAGGATCTAGCCTTTGAGCAGAAAGGGTAGTATCTATATAGATTTTCCTGTATGAATGTCATAGTTCTTCATCACACATAAAATACAGAGTATTTTATACTTTCTAGAAAATGTATGTCTTAAAATGCTAATAATAGTTAGAAAATAAGTTATTTAGGTTTAAATCCAGCTATCATATTTTGACTCAAAAGCACTTCAGACAACTAAATCATTAAATTACAGTAAGTTTTAAGTAACTATCATACCCGAAAAACAAAAAAACCCTTATGTGTTCGTGGAACCAATCATAATCTTACTGCTATGGACACTTTGTGTAGGCTGGAGAAGCAGTGCTCTCCTCCTGGCAGCTCAATCTGAACATGCAGAGCAGATGGTGGCATCTTCTTTCTGTCTGACCAGCTTTATCAGCAGTTTAGCCAAGATCTTTAATCCAAGTACAAGATTTGTAAAACATTAATTTAATACCTGCATTCTTAAAGCATGAGTCTCTCAAAGGCAGGGCAAGCAGCAGAAAGGCAGATTTACTTCCCCTTTCATGTTTTCATAAAGGATTTTATGCCTTACTATAAATGTTCTGCACTGGGAGGCAATCATTAAATAAGAATGGAGCAAATAGCACTCTGTGATATCATGACAAACCAAAAAACTGTGCCATGCATTTTCAGAACTCAAATGAACTTTTGTGCTTGTGAGGTGGTTGTGTAATAGCAGCAAGAACTACCCACGAATATTTGCAAAAGGAATGCAAACAAAGAATTTTGAAAGAAGCTACTGAAACATGAGTTTGGATTGTATAGCTATGTTTATAAACTTACCTTTCTGTTCATAACTTACCTTTCTGCCAGTCACAAAAAAGATTTGCTTGTCTGATTGTTGAGAGCAAGCCATGCTCTTGCCACAAAGTCTGAAAAATCCTGCTTTATGCTTCAAGAGAAATTACTGAAATGCTGTGTGCTCTTAAAGGTCGACTGAGTTTGCTTTGTCCTGCAGAATTTACTTTGATGCTCAGTCTGAAAATAAGCAGGTGGGGCTGAGCCAGTGCAATGTGTGCCATTTCTCAGCAATTAATGCATGTTGAGATGTGAACGCAGCACCGCCTACTCCCCACCCTAACTCTTCTCTGGTGACTGGAAATAATCTGCAACGAACTTGAGCTCCTCTAATTCTAGCCCTGTAACATAAGAGATAACTGTGAGGGGGAACTTCTGGGTTTGAGCTACAACTTCCAAGTTTGTTTATCCTGTTTATTATCTCCAGGTCTGTATATTATCCAGTAACTGATAAATTTAGAATACAAAGGCATGCCTGAAGCTAAAACCAAGGACATGCAACGTTACCCTCTTCTCTCTTTGCTTCAAAAGCAAAGCTGTGGAGCCACAGTTCTCATTTTAGCTTGACCTGAACTATCTTTTTTTCTGCAGAATGACTAAGTTGTAATAAAATCAACATTACTACTATACATACATTTAAAATTTCCTTCTGATTATCTCTGTGCCATGTCAGTTCTATGCCCTTTCTGCTGTGGGTACCATATTTAACACATGCTGTATTCTTAAAGAGAGAAATCCCAAATTCTGATTTGGGATTCTAGACTCTCATCCATTTCTTCGAACACAAGTCCAGGAAACAAATGAATCTTTAACTGCTTTACTACAACTGGCCTTTATTTTTTTCAAGGGGAATTATGGATATATCTTTTAAGAGTCTTCATTGTATGTAGCTGTCTTTTGTTTCATTTACCATTTTCAGATTTTACAGCAAAGCTGTCTGTATTTCATTTAGAGTGAGTGAAGTCTTGCAGGGCAAAGGAGCCAGTCCCTGGTCTTCTACCACTCCCTTTAGAAGGCAAGAAGCTGATTCTCAGCAGAGATATGCTGCTGGTTTTGTGGTTATCTAACATATCCCTGAGAGCTACCACAACACAAGCATTGGAGTGGTGTCAGTCACTAGGTCCAAAAGCCCTAATGGGTCCTGCCAAGTGCAGCAGTAATAACCACTGTAGTACTCCTCATGCATTGTAGGTATAACAATGCAGGCTCAAATGCCTAAGAACAGAAAGAACCAGACCAAATCCTTGATTTTAGCGGTCCAATATCTAATTTACAGGCAACCCTCCATCCAGAACCTAGTATTTATGTTAGATATTTAAGCTTTCACCACATGGAATGGGCCTGCTGAGGGTAGACTGCTACAGGAACATTTGTCTCATGAAGAAAATCAGTAGAAAGAGCTCTTCTGAACCATGTCCAGTTTGGGGTAACTGTGCAGTTACAGTGCACATTGATGGGTCAACAGCCATCCAATATGTCAGTGCCTTTGAAGCCTAACATTTCTGCTTATCTACCTTGCTGAAGATAAGAACGCTTCTCTCATAATATCCCATGTAGCCATATTTTCACCTGGATGGTCAATTGCTGAAATTTCTAGCTTCCAGGAAGTTTTTCAAACACTTAAAGCCCAGCAGACAGCTTAATATGCTTCAGACCCAAAAAACTCAACAACCCATATTTGCCACATTTATAGAATTTACTGAGGCAACTAGACAAAGGAGCCACTTGTAAAGTGGCAGGGAGGAATCTTTGCTAATAATGACTGAGAAGCAGACAAGATTTGCACTGCAGAAAACAAAGTGTAGGTATAGAATGTGATGAATGCTTGGAGCATGAACATCTCAGTACTGCAGGTGGGGAGACACCATTGCCTGCAAGGTTTGGGCAAAATTTTTGAATGAACAAGCACCTGTGCTGCTGCATAGGTACATAGGACAACAAGAGAGCTCTCACCCAGTTTAGTAGATCTGTAGGCTCCCTGCTTCAGTATCTCCCACAATTCACACATATTTTGGGTTGTTATTGACATGTGGGGTTGCAAGCAGTCCTTGACAAATCCATATGTAAGGACCTAAAGAAGTAGTTGCCTATCTCAAAACACTGTCCCTTTAAGATAATGGAATCTGAGATAAGCATGGTTGGCACAGCAGGAAGGAGCTGATTCCAGATCTAACAGAGGTAATGGTTTGGTTAGCATCTGGACAAAAATTCCCACTGTGACAAAATATGGAAAAGAAAACAAGTGCTTATACACACACTATCTCAAATTACTGGAATGGCATGTGTGCCCCATGGATACTCAGGACCTGAACTGTAGAAAAGAGTACTTCCAGAAGAATGACTCTGGGATTATTGACTTTGGCACAGGGTCTCATTTGCACCGTAGGTGCAATCAGATTGTAACACCGAACAGTGAAACTAAGATGTTTCAAATCAGACACTAATTGTGGCAGCAGCATTCATGTTTAATTTATTGACTTCTAACAATACAGAAAAGCCAAATTAATACAAAGAAAGTGAAGAAAATAAAGTAAACCCCAAAAAGGCTTCAGCTGCCTAAATCACTTTCAGTACCACTTCCAGTGATTACAATTACTATTATCTGCCTGGTCTCAAGCTGCTGTACCATATCTTCCAGTCCTGTGCTCCCCTGTGCTATGTCTCTACTGTCTTATGACATCTAAAGCAACCTAGACAGCTACGTTTAAGCAACTGCATTTCACCAACTCATCATGGTTACAGAGAGACAAATTGAAACAATAAAGATTTCAAATCTTAATAGCTAATGCAAAAGCTCTTTAAGCAACTGACCTGATTTCTGTCACAGATACAGTGTCAGCTCAACAAATGAAGGGAAGACAAGAGAAATTGTTAAACACTAAGAGGCAGCGAAATGATAAGAGCCTGCAGGCTGACATGTCATCCATTCTCCCATTCAAAGCACACAGAACTCCATGTCAATTTTTCCATTGTGTTCAGAGGCTTTTGGCTTGCTCCATGAGATAAAGCAAGCTTCTGGTGGAAATTACACCTCTGTCAACTTCTGGGATAAAATTCTACATATCTAGGCCAGCCATGGCAACTTTCCTGGCATAGCCAAAGTGAATCATAACTCTTGTTTCTTGCATGTTTTTAACACAAAAATACCTGTGCTGAAAGATTCTAAACGTGCTTTACTACAAGTCAGAGCATCACTTCTGGTGAAAAAGGTTCTGAATCCAACAAAGTTCTGATTCTTTAACAAAGATCTCTCCACTTACACTTCACTGCAAGACTCAAATCTAAACTAGAAAATTAGCTGAAGCCATTACAAAACCATTTATCATATGAAGTTGTTTGTGTAATATGTGGCAATAAGTTATCTAGCATACCTTTACACTTCATTCTTACTTTCCTCTCCTGCAGCATTTGAGCTGTGCTGATCAGCAGATCTTTCTTGTTGAAAATATATGGTTCAAATGCAGAAGATTTATTTATAACAATTAAATGCAGTCATTTAAGCAAAATACTGTAATGAGTCCACTGGAGGAGAAATGAAGATAAGGATGTAAGATATAAAGTGCATATTTTTGGTAGCTGATTCTATGCAGAAAAAGAGAAAATACATCTATCTGTTTGTTGATTAGTGTGTCTTGGGGCAGTAAATCAGTTTTCCATTCCAATCTTGTGCACTATGGTTTGTCATTCACACAGATGTGGCCCGAGGAGGAAGCAGCTTCATTGTTCGCCATCTAAGAGATAAGCAAGAAATGACAACAGTGACTTTATTTGACTGGCAACCTCGCAACACTGCCCTTATCAAGTGGCTCCAAGTCAGTGATAACTGGGATTAGGACTAAAGAGGGATGGAGAAGCATGATTCCTGTTCTGGTGGACCTCAGCTCCTGCAAGTTCCTGTAATAAGACTAAACTCACAAATCTGCTGATGCAGGGGTCAATGGTGACTCACCACAATCACAGAAATACCATGGGAGTAACCTGTGAATGAGAGCTCAAGAGTTTCCATAGCAGAGCCCCAGAGGCTCAGGGCACAGCACAGATTTATATGCTGGCAAGGACCTTGCCTCACTAAGTAAAAACTTACCCAGCAAAAGAATTGTAACAGCAGTGGGAACATGACTAGAGTGAACAGTTGCAGAAAGTTGAGCATAAAGGATCAGAATTATACAAAGTGCATTGCCTTGTTTCTTTTTCTTCTATCTCTTTGTGTTAGCTCTGAGTTAATTATTTCTCCCAAAGACTACTGGGCATACCAAGGAAGTGACACTGCCAGCATGCAGTCAGTGGGGCAAAGCACCTGGAAGGAGACTGAAAACGCTTAGAGGATGATCCATTGCATGTTAATAAGATGATTTAATCCTCTATGGGATTTGGCACCCAGAAGAAAGGAGGAGGGTTCAGGGAAAGAGAAGGTTGTAAAAATTACACACATTTAAAAGAAAAATAATTATATAAAATCCAGGGAAATTCCAATACGATGTTTGAATGGTATTTGTTGAAATAAATTGTGCAAATGAGACCTGTTACTAGACATTTCAATTACAAGGAGCTGTATATGAAGCATGACTGACTGGAGACATCATTAGGCACTCCACTATTTAGGGGTGCCAAAATCAGCCATCACTCCTACCCAGCCATTGTTAAACAGAGCCTTCCCTCACCTTCTCTTACCATCTCAGTAAAGACATCAGTGCAGTTTGCCCGTATTTGCTCAGCAGTCAGGGGGCTGTTCAGTGCAAAGGTCTTTTTCAGTCCTCTTTCATTCCTCACACCAGTTAGTGCATCTCTCAAAGCGAAGAACACAGAGCATCCCAAGAAAAATCCTGCCTCACCTATCCCCTGAAAAAGATTCAGAAAAGCCAGTCTCTCATATGAATACACGCATACACTATTTTGTATTGCATAGTACACACAAGCAAATTGCACACTCTGAATGACATTTTGATTTCGCCATCAATTAATATTTTTTTTCTACCTTTTCAGTTTATACCACATTTAGAAGTGTGATTTTAAATTCATCTTTCAGCTTCTGTGTATGGTCTGTTAACAAAACTCTAAAATCACTACTTGCCAACCATTAAAGTGACACAACAATATCTGGCTTTATGTCTTACTAGTTTCTCTGATGTCATAAATAAAACAATTTATTGGACACTTGTTTGGAATGTTAAAGGAGAGGAACTGAAAACTTATATGTGTTTTATATCAAAGTAATTTCAAAGTTTGGCCTGGGATCTAAGAATTAGGCCCTGTGATGATCTGCTTACCTTGGATGCATAGATGGCATAAGGATTTTGAGAAGATGACAGCAGAGAAACACTAAACTGTTCTGGAATATCACAAACAGCAGGGATCTTATACTGATCTGGACCTCGAGTATAGAGGACTCCTTCTGAAGAATACTTTAACTCCTCCATTGTGTACAGTCCAATGCCTTGAACAAAAGCACCTTCAATCTTTAAATAAGAAAAGAAATACCATTTATGTACTCATGTTTGGTTAACTGAGAAAACTTCACCAAGAACTCATTCTTATCACGAGGTGTTACTGTAATATATGTGAAGCCTTCCAATTGCCTAATGAGATTCTTCAACATTTCGGGGCAACTAAAATGGAAATGGGCAATGGAAAAGCTTTCACACTCCTCTCTCATACCTGAGAAGACAAATGCATGTATGATGAAGTGATGAGATCTGTGGATTAGCCTGCAATGAATAAAGATATTTCCCTGAAATCAAACAGGATTTAAGTCCAGTAGACAGAAGACATACACACAAACTGGAAGTACTACATGTTGAAATCATGGGTAAAATTCAAGCTTCTTTGACATCTACAGAGTTCTGACACTAATTCAATTGGAGTAAGTCTATAGGCAAAAGACATTCTAATATGATCTATAATCTAGTAAGAAATTAATGTTTTCTGAACTAATGAGGTAATCTTCATTTCAGATAAGGACAACAGTGTAATAGAAATAAGGCATCTGAAAATTCTTGGCACGTACCTGTCCTATATCCACAGCTGGATTTATGCTGCATCCAACGTCCATAACAATGTCTGTTCTGAGGTTCTGTTAATAAAATTCAAATTTGTATCACCCAGAGAGGTGGACTGAAAGCATTAGAAGATAATGTGGGTCAGAGTTGGTATTCAGTGAAATAAACACTGAGACAGCGGCCTCTCCATGTACATAATTTCAGAATAATTTCCAGTATCTCATGACAATCAAAATTGGTTTGTCTCAACTTTTACAGAGGTTTAGCCAGAGACAGCCCTGCCAGATTTTTCCCATTGCTCAAGGAAATCCCCCTACAAATGTACAGATAGAGGGCATATGATCATCAGTCTATAGCCTTTAGCTGTCCAGATGGTCAAAAGTCTGGAAATTCAATATTGTTATAAGGTATTAGCTGGCAAACAGGGACAGGACAAGCAAAGAACATGTTAGGTGTCAGCCATAACCCAAAAGGTGGACACATATGACACTGACATGTGTGTCAGAAGCTGGTTAATACTGCACAGCTTTCATTCTGCTCCACCTGTAATTCATACCTACATCGTTGATATATTTACTATCATGTGAAGACAGGCGACTTAATAACCCCAAATCTGAATGATTGTTGGAGCAAGCCTTATTCACATTACTTTCAAAACTTCTCTGACATTCAGTTATTACCTTGTGATCTCCTGTTAGACAGTTAATTTCAACCTCTGAACAAGCAGCTCCAAAAATAAAATATGTGAATGGCCGTCCTTCCCCTTTCTCCCAGTCCATGTAGTCATTGTAACCTCTGATGGAAGAAACAAAGTCCACAAGAAGAAAACTGACCACAGTTTGCATTATAACAAAGCAGGTAAGCACGTAAGTTGTGAAATCTTAAGTACAAAGTCTTAAGTGAAATCTTAAGTAACAGCTCAGAACTTCAAAATTTCATGAAAGCCTACAGAGCACTACTAGTTTAGGTTTGCTGCCTCTGGTATTTGTATAAAATGTAGCAGAAAAACAAGCTATTTCAGTTCAGGAGAGTCTATAACCAGCATAATCCTAGAAATATACTAATAAAAGCACAGTAACCAAATACAGAATAAACATTCAAGATAGTGGTTACTGGTATTATAGCACATAAAGGAATTTATAAAAAGGGAGGAAAACTTGTCAGGACCTATGAAAGAATAATTTACAACAGATAAATGAAAAAGTCAAAGTAACAGAAACACTCTACAGAATTGAGTGAGAGGGTTAAAAGAGGAATATTGAAATAAAGATTTTAACTACTTAGGAGGCAGTGGGATTAACTGAGGACACCATAGTAGTCAGGAATGATGGGGAATGAATTCAAGGACATGAGAGGACAGTGAAATGTGGTATCTTCCAAACATGGGAGCTATGTGACTAAGGTGTATTTTCTGACTTTGTATGAGTGAAATGTCTTTGCTGAGCATATTTAAGATTATCATAAAGCAACTATAGTACAGAACCATGCACCCAAAAAGGGATACACAAAATCCATATACTCAGCTTCTCATAATCCATTTACCTCATCTGCCTTTGAGATTCTTGGAAGTAGAGAATATGACTGGATCAGAACAATACAGGGTCTGAGGCTCAGGGATTCTGCAGCTTTTTGGACAGCATTAAATATTGATAGCAAAGCATGACTGCTGTTCATTACTTTGGTGATATCAAAATTTCTAAACAGCTGCATAAACTTGAACAAGCTTAACAGCAAGAAGAGACATTTTATTTGGACATTTCTCAGTGTTTTATAAAATATGGGTTTCCCAAGTGCCATTTCTTACTTACTCCAGACTGCCCAGGGACCTGAAAAGTTGCTATTGATAAGGAAGAACCACCAGCAGAAGGAGAGAAGACATAAGGCACAGCAGGCTAAGAGAAAAGCTTTGCTTTGAATTCCATCTGAGTTATAGCACAGAAATTTTTCATTTCTGGTTCTTTATAAACACAGTGAAAGAATTCAAAGAAAAAGGACCAAGAGACTGCTCTGAGAGCAGTGGGAACGATGATATTTCTAGCTAATAGCAATCCAACCTCCAGTAAATAAATTATATCCCACTTTGCACATCACTGTTACAGGCAGCAGTCACTTCTTGATGCTTTCTGGTTTGGTAAATGTCAAATCATGGAGCAAAGATGGCACAAAATATTCTTTTAATACTTTCTAGAGATCCACAGAGGACTAGACATAAATTATCACATAAATTATCACCTAAACTTTATGCTTCCAACCTTCCATATATCACTTATTATATAAAACATAAAATGAGCTATTAGAAAGACCTATTAGACAGGATCTTCTCTTTACAGCATTAATTATCTTCAGAAATCAATCCTGGTCTAATTTATGCATTTTTAAGGAACAAAAATATATTACCTAAAATAGCCAGTAGCTGAAAGGCTCACACTCTGTTTAAAAGCTTCTTTAATCTGTAAAATATAGCAGTGCTTGTGGTAAATCAAGGAAGGAGTCAGGAAGGAACACAGCATAGACATATTTACTTTATTTACATATATATACTTGGCCACGCATATTACTTAAAATCCAAGGTGTAAAAATTGTAAAGAAAGGAAGACAAGCTGAGTTAAGCATGTTTAACTGCACATGGTGCAGCTAACATGGTGTCTAATACTACAGAACTAAACCCCTCTTGCATGAAGAATCTGAATTATTTTGGCAATACAAGAAGGAATAGACCTGTCAACAGCACTGATCTTACAGAATCTTTTTTACTGGTAATGCCATAGTCAGAAAGGGCTCCACTCTTTCAGTTTTTCTGATGAAGTTCAATAGAGATTGTCCCTCTCTGTCAGCTAACCCAATCTGGTTGATAAGTCGCTGATTATATTGGGTCATGTGACTGTGTGCATGTGCAACCTTCTGCTTTTTCTTTGATAAACTGCCTTTATCTTAATCCACAGACTTGTTGGTTTTTTTTCCATCTCATTTTCTTCCCCTATCTCACTGAGAAGGGAAGTGATAGAGCAGTTTGTTGGGCACTTGGAGTCCAGCCAAGGTGAAACCACCACACTGACATAAAAGATCTGCATGACCTATTTGCACAAAAATAACAGTTTTCAAGAGAAATGCTCTTTGTAAAGTTGTAAAGTTCTGCCAGTCATAAAAGTGAGAGCATGAGGTCCCATATCTATTCCCTTTGAGTGATCCTCAGATTTACACGGTTTATACATCAAGAAATTTTTGTGAGGCTTTTGGTCAGTTTTACTGACTTTCTAAGATATAAAGTTACTTCTCTGCATTTATTAACATTCCTTCTTTGGTCAGCCATTTCTGATAATACTTTTGGTGTGTCCGAATGATACAAATTAATTGCAGACCTATTAGAGGAGATTGGGTATTTTGGATTAGCGTTTTATTGTTATTCCTAAACAGGGCCTACACAGAGACAAGGCCTTTGCTACTTTTTGGATTGTCCCACTGGTGAGGAGGCTGGAGGTATATGGGAAACTGGGATAACTGACCCCAATTGACCAAAAGGGCTATTCCAGACTATGTGGCATCATGCTCAGTATATAAAGTGGGGGGAAGAAGGAGGAACAGGGGGACATTTGAAGTGTTTGTTTTCCCAAGTAACCATTATGTGTGATGGTGCCCTGCTCTCCTGGAGATGGCTGAATACCTGCCTGTCCATGGGAAAGAGTGGAAGAATTATTTGCTTTGCTTTGGTTGTGGGTATGGCTTTTGCTTTAACCATTAAACTGTCTTTAATCCAACTCACAAGTTTTCTAGCTTTCACTCTTCTGACTCTCCCTGATTCTGCTGGTAGGGGAATGACTGAGCAGTTGTGTGGTGCTTGGTGGCTGGCTGAGGTTACACTACAACATTCTGTAACCCTTTAGACATAGGCTGTGGACCAAACCTGAGACTGGGCAGACCTGGCTGCACCTAGACTCTTCTGAAAAGTTTAGAAAGCCAGCGCATCTCACTGATGCTCATGACTCAACAGGAGGGACCATAAACTGATTTTACTATAATCCATTGTAACAGATTATAATTTTTTACTTGGATATTGCATTGGCAATATTTAAATACTGTATTAGCAATAAATTTAATTTTTATCTTCCACATAATAATTTGTGCCTGGCCAAGAACCTTCTCTTGACTTTCACCTTTTTGTGAAATAGCCTGTTGTTACAGTTTTTAACTTTAGGACTATTAGACTGAGCAGATTTATAGACTACAGTACACATATCACAGTTTCTGTCAGCACTCAGACACATTCAGTGGGATTCACAGGTCTTACCCAATCATTCCAGGTCCCTGTTGGGTTCTTCTTGATGATGGGCTGCAGGCGTTTCAGAAGAGTTTGGCAAGCATCCTGGTGAGAATCAGGAGAATATATCACAAAATTAGCACAGATACATCTGGTACTATTCAAGTTATGTTCTAGTTACTATTAAATTAGTATATACTTTACAGATATCTTATTTTTGAAAAGGTATTGCAGGAAGTGTTGTATTAACTTCATAGACCTAAAACTTCTAAATGGTTAAGTTACAAGGGCTGGGATCTGTATAAATCAGATTTCAAACATGAACAGGGTGCAAGATTTGTATGGGATTAGTTAGCTTGTTACATGAAACAGAGATTTTGTCAAGTATAAGCCTTTTTGGCAAAGTGCAGATCATATTCTACAAACTCATAAGCACCATTACTAAGAAACTGTCATGTCATGTTTCTTCTTGGCCATCTCGAGAAGTATTATTAGTAATCCCAAACTTGATTTTTATGGGATCACTGGGGCCTAAAATTTGGCAAGTATACACCTCAAGGGATAGGGTATTTTTTTCAACTAAATACTATTTTTTACCTTCACAGCCATGCCATTGACATCTGTCCCTGCAGATCCCACTGAGGCACATGCATTAGGAACAGTTGTTGTGCTCGTTTCACAGAAGTGAATACGTGACATGGGGATGTTCAATTCCCGACTAGCAACCTGTCCCAGGAAGAACAACAAGTTCTTTGTTTTATAAACAATCTAAACACTCCAACAATTCCCCAGTATTTTCTAGAAGCCAGTAAGAGCAGGGAAGATAAAAATTTTCGCAAGTTCTCTTCCAATCTCCAGCTGACATCATTCTGTCCAATTTGGTAGTATTAAGAAGCAGAAAACGACATAATTCTAGCTATACTCAAACTCTGGATTGAGACTCTGAACACTCAATCCTGATTTTCCTGCTTATACCCTGTAAGACTTACAGCAAAAGATGCAAGCCCAGGTCCCAAACTTTCATTGACTTGACAAGTATCTCTACAGATATGTCTCAGAATTATCCAGTAACCAAACAGGATCATAATGTTATCATCATGACTACACCGATCTGAATAATCTCTGCCTTTTTCACTATAGGTTTTACGAGATCAGCCCCCCAAAAATCTCATTTCTAATAAGCCTCTTCACATGCCATTGGAAGAACAAAAAACAGTCTGTTTTTTCCTTCCTTCTGCCTTCATGAATTAATGAAGGTACCTTTGCTTTCTAACTCCTTCAATGTAAAGAAGTAGGGGCTATGCTGATAAAGAAAATGTCCTGCTGGTACACTCACCAAAAAGAAAACCTTCACATTATTTATCTGCATGACAGATAAAGCTCACAGCAGTATTTATTTAGATCATTTGTTACCTGGATCATTTTTGTATGAAGACCCTGCCCCATTTCAATTCCACCATGTGTCAGAAGCACAGACCCATCAGTATAAACATGAACCAGTGCAGCAGCCTAAAAAAGAAAAATAAAATCAAGACTAATCAGACTAATGAGAAATATGTTGCATGTGGTGATAAATTGAATAAAAAAAAGACAAACTGAAATACACTTGAACACTTTATCTGTTTAGTGCTTTTGAATAGAAGGCAAAATTTGAAAGTCTACTTGCTGCTCTTCCTCTATAATGAAATTTTAAGAAAAAGATACAAATCCTCAGTGGTCTGCTTTTTCTGTTAGTAGATCCTGAAACAAACCTATACCGGGTAACAGTATCTCAGTGGTTCCAGAAGAGGCTGGAGGAAAACCCTTACTAGTGGCTCCAAGTGCAATTTTCTGCAAGTTCCATTTTCTCTCTCATTGACATGGGAGAGTCTTGGAGGTTTTTAAATGGCATAGGTTGAATTTCTGAATGAGATTTTCTTCCTGGACTCAGCTGGAAGTAGTGCTGTAGATTACAAAGACCCTGTGACTTTAATGTTGAACAGAGACAGCCAGTTTGATATGACATAAATCAGTAAATTAATTTTAAATTGATAGAATGCTGTCTGTTTCAGAAGCACTGGACACCTACATTAAAAAATACAAGGACCAAAAATACTACTGTCCTTTTTTGCAGGGTCCAAACTGCCTGGGGTCCTGAAAATCAAACAGCTTTGATCTCAGCTTGAAAAGAGCTACAGGCTACTACAGCCTCTTCAGGGAACAATCATCAGGAGGATGATCATTTTCCAGGAAAAGACAACGTATTTGTATCCTAGGATAAAGGGACTGAATCTTCTATGGATAAAATGCTTAGCTCACTCTTAATGCAACTCACCTGAGAAAGGTAAGGTGTGCCTATTCCAAATGGATATTTCATTGGTACAATGGCAATCCCTCTTTTCTTCCAGTAATTTTGTTTGTTAAATTCACTGATAGCTTTTCTCCTACTGTAGTATGCAGATTTCTCCATACATTCATTCCAACACCGTATTAAATTCTGTGGATCAAGTTTTTGTTTGAAGTGTGTCTGCTCATTCTTCTTATACATATTTATTTCCCTAATCTGAAAAAATGAAATTACAGCTGTCACACAATTCTGTTAAAGCAAACTGACTATCTGAGGGGACTAACAGACAACAAGATCACGGTATATTTTTTTAACAATTGCCAGTTTGTAAGACCATGCTATTCATTCAACAATCAGACATTGGTTAGAAAAAATATGAATTTCAGCACAAATGATGTTTGACTTAGAAAAGAGTTGCTCAAACCCAGTTCCACAGACTTCATTTCAGGAGAGAAGATGCTTTCATTTAGTCACCTTTTCTGGTGCTAAACCAGTTTTATCTGCAACATCTGTTATCCAAGTTTCTGTCACCAGTCCTGACTGAGGAAAGCCAAAGCCTCGGAATGCTGTATTTGATGGCAAGTTTGTTTTGCAGGCATAGGCCCTGCATCTCAAGTTGGGAATCTTGTATGCATTGTCCATTTTTAGTAAGGATACTTCTGCTACCTGAGGCAGGGGATAAACATAGTTTAATGTCAGAACAGCGTTTCTTTCAAAATTACATTTAAATCTTCCTCATCTCTTATATAAAAGACCTTAAGTAGAGACAATTAGCTTTAAAATTGAGTTTCTGGTAATCACTGGTAGTAAGAGTACTCATGCACACATACAGACTTCATTAATATATTTTCATGCAATATATTAATTTTCAGGGGGTTTTTGATACAGAACAAGTAACAGCTGATGTTACTTGTACTTCAATGTTATCAGGAGTTAAGGATGTAATAGATACATAATTTTATGATTGATTTTGCTCCTACTTCAATACTGAAAGCCACGCAAACTAAAAATAGGCAGATTAGATTTAGAGCAGGAGTAGCTATGAAAGGAACTGATGAAAGCATTCTGAACTATCACATCCTGTGGAAATCCACACTTAAGGTTTAGTTTCACCAGAAAGCATATGTACTGCAGTCTGCAGTATCTTCTGGTCCTTAAGTTTTTCTTTTAGAGCTTTTACATGACAAACACAAAACCTCCTGAAGAGGAAAATCCTATACTAGAGACCTCTAATTAGACTCTAGGAGTCAGTGTAAAAAATATAAATTAAAAAATGGTTTGATGCCTGATGAAGAGGTCTCTCTTCAATGTTAAGTAGATTTCTCAGAATGACAGATTTAAGCCTTGGTTATTCCTGCTAGGTCTAGAAGCTCCACTGAATCATTGTAGGACTTCATCTTAAGACAGTTCTGACATGATCTGCATTAATGTACATGCTTCCAATAACGATTTTCTTCTAACTTAGGCTATTTTTCAGAACCAGTTAGGCAGCAATACCACAGGCAGTTACACTGACAGATTTCAGGATGCAGAAAATACTCATAGGTGGGGCAATGACAAGCAGATGAGGGGCAGTACAGCAAGCATTTCAGTTACAGGTAGAATAGCCTGTATAAACACGAATACCTAGTGATTATATCAAAGCAAGAAACATTTTATACTTTGCTGACCTGTAACTGAGGAACTAAGGTATAAAGCACAATAAATGCTGACCCAGTACAGGAATCTATAGGGACAGCAACAGGATAACTATCACTATGAGTTTTCTGAAGGCCAAGAGGGGTTTTCCCAGCCCTGAAGATATAAAGCTTTAGGCATAGACAAATGCAGGCACTACTCATTTTAAAAGCAATATATTGTTAGTTGAGATGTTCATTAAAGAAAAATAAGCCTGAGAAAACATTCATGAAGTGAATGTGTTGGGCAATATAAGAAAGTAGTAAGATGCTTCACCAAATTTAATAAGGTTAACCTGTTCAGCATAGATTCTTCCAACAACCCACAGTCCCTATATCAAAAATCTATATGATTAATAATACATGGGCAAGGGAATTTGGCTTCATAATTTTCCAGCTAATGATTCCTCTGTGTTGAAAGGTTTGTCAGTATAAAATCCTTACCAGGACAGACTCATCAGGGCTACATCCTCCATTAACATAATATTCGGTATCCACAGCTGTGATCCTACCATCATTCATGAAGCCAACCTAGAAGGATCAACAGTATGTTATTTAGAATTCAGCATTCATTTGTTTCTGAAGTGCTTGTATATTTTGAAAATTAACATAACCCCCGTATTTAGGGTCATATTGCTCCATTAATTTCTGGGCAGCATGCACTGAAACTACAGAAAGGCAAGAGAGAAAGAAAGTATGTTTCTAAGATATAGGCTTTTCCTCCTGGCATGTACTATGTATAGGTACAGCATAGAATAATCAACATAAGCCCATTGGGAAAGGAAGAAGCAGTGGCCTCCTCTCTATGGCCTGAGATGGCTGACAAGACCATCACCTAGGAGTGTTTACTCTAGATAAAATCAAATCCCACTTTAATGGTAAGAGCAATGTCTGGCAGATGGAATATGACATTTATGTTTATTAATGAAGAAATGTTCTCTTTATCTCACATCTCTCTTTTCACCTGTTGCCACTAACAGCTCTTGAATTCTCAACATGAGCTACATCTCATTTTCAACTTTAGAGAAGTATAAAAGAAGTTAGAAAATCTCTCTTGCTTTACCCATGTAGAATGTCATGCAACTTGCTTAGTATTAGCAGCTAAATTTGCAGCAGCCTAGGCTGCAAGCTCTGAACTTTCACCTAGGTATGTTGAACTGTTACCTAGTCAAGTAAAAGAAGGCCTCAGAGTCAGTTCAAGCTGAAAGATAAGGAAGCCATAATCTCTAGCAGAGGCTGCACAACTTACATATAAGAAAAGAAATGGCCCAGCTATAGACAATGAAAGAAATGGCCCATGAAGAATGTGAAGACTCCAGACCTTTAATATTACTATTGGCTTGTAATGCCATGTGAGGGATGGGGATCTTAGATTGTAAGGGTATAATTGCCCAGGTATAATCCCATTATTCAGTGTCCCTCTTTGAAGGCATCCAGCTTGAGCTGTAGTGCTATTAACAAAATGTACTTTTAAAGAGAAATCTTTCAGCTTATTGATTCAGCAGAAACTTGGATTTAAACCCCATTATGGTGGCTGGCATGCGTAATTTATATGACAAGTAGAAAAGGAAAAGGCGGCAGAAATTATCCTAATGAATGACTGATGACAGTGCATGAACAGGGAAGAGATTAATTTTCTCCACAGGGCAAGTTTTCTGCATGACACTGTTTCTGTGAAAAATTAGCTGCTTCTTTGTGTGAATCTAACCATATGGAGAGTTTAAAATAAAGTTCTGAAGAAGAAGTCTGACATAGGTTTGCTTCTTGTTCCCAGAAAGAAAGACAGAAAGAGCTATAAAAAGAAAAGAACATGAAGGAACTAGAAAAATAATAAAACAAAACACTGAAGAGACAGAGGTAGAGGCAGACAAAGGAGCTGTACATCAACTTTGTCTCTTGGGTTCTTGGCCTGTAGTTTTGTTTTAAAATTGAATTGGTTATAACAATTTTCATTAATAGAACACATCACTCAGTAACAGTGAAATACTTATTTGCAGAATGTAGCTGGGTATTTTTTCACTCAATTCTTGTGGCACTCACTTTATATTTAGCAATAAAGGGATGTCGGCCACCAGCGATTACCATATCATCCTCTCGGCTCAGAATAAGACGGACTGCTCTGCCGGTTCTAAATCCAAAAAAGAAAAATCAAATTGCAATTAAAATAAAGGATGTTGTTAATTAGAGAGCTAGGGCTACTCATGATGTATCCAGATCCAGTCATGCATATAAACATGCATTTAGATTAAACTTAACTTTAATAAGCCTGAACATACGCTTAACACTATGTCCAGAGTTCCTATTTCTCACATTTACAATCATGTCAGAATTTTCATTTCATGTCTTGAAAGCCAACAAGATAACTCAGTGCAAACTACTCCTGAAGAAACTATTTCAGTGTTAAGTGTTCGTCACCTCTTAGCTATTCAGAATCATACCGAAATAGAATGTCTTGGAATGAAACCAAAATATGAATAACAATAAAAATATGAAAATTAGTCTAGAAATGCATATACCATTTAAAAGAACTACTTTAGAAAAATGGACATAAGGTGTAGAATAAGGTCCTAAGAATAAAAAAGATAGTTTAAACCACAAAAGAAATATTATTTTTAGTAAGATCTTTTAATAAAAAACACAGATTACGTGGCCAAAAATAATCAAGAGTAAATTTTATACCAGTGACAGTAGGAGCAACATAAACCTATTGAGCTAACCCGTCAGATGATGAGATCATTTTGGCTGACAGGATTTAGCCTGATGTGAATTCTGCAGCAAACTGGTTACGCTTATAAAGGAGTTTAGTATGCCTTGACAGCTAATTGCCAATATTAGCCTGCCAAATTTGGAAGATGGGGGATGGAGCTTTATGTGTTAATGTTCTTAAATTAATTCAAGCAGGATTAGAAAAAGCATAATGCCTCATAGATTTCAGCGAATTTTGACTGGTAGATGTTGAGGACCGAGCTAGAATTACTTTTTTTTAAAAGCAGTTCCACTCATGAACTATTCCCTCTGCATTTCTGCTGTGTCAGTGAAGTTCACAACTGGAGGGTTAATGTCATATTTTAATGTATGTAAAAAGTCTCAGTAGTTAGGGGCTGGTCCTTTTGAGTATTTCTAACTTATAATAATACCAACTTCTGGCAGCCCATTAATTTAGTTGAGACTAGAGCTGCTTAACATAAGTACTCCAACAAAACAAAACAAAGAAATGCACCGAACAGTCTTGCAAAATGTGAAGTCAGGATTGTATGACTTTTTGACTAGCAGCTTTGGAAAAAGAGAAAGCATTTTAGCCAAAATGGAAAACTTGTTTGCTTCATTTTTTCACATCCCAACACACATAGTGCACTTACTTGTTTGCTGCTACTGCAGCAACTGATGCCAGTAAGCCAGTTCTCAGGATTTTCCCACCAAAAGCTCCACCAACTCGTTTAACATGGCACATGATCCTGTTGGCTGGAACACCTAAACTTGCAGCTACAATCTCCTGTAAAATAAGTTGTACTATTTTATGCCAACTCAAACTAAGCCCCAAAGCTAGGTTCTGAAAGAGAAACCTTTTCTAGAAAAGTGTTCCACAGATGTTTCTATTCTCCTATCAGATGAATACAACTTTTCCTTTACCCTAGGTTAAAAAGCAAAGAAAAAAATAACAACAAACTCTCACATTTCAAATCTTTACCATGCAGACTGTGAGAAGGCCATTGGCCAATGTGAAGAATAATACCCTTGAATCACATTATCTAAACAGTAAGAAGCTTCAGGTATAATAAAAAAGGATTAGTATACAGTTTCTATTATTTTCGTTACTAAGATACTTTATTTAAAATAAAACAATTTGTTTCTTAATAGTCTAAGGTCTTGATAGTGTCAGGAATGTTTTTGCTCGAAATAATTTTCTCAAACACAAATTCTTCATACTACTTGGCTATTGACAATACAATAACAATGGAAATTACAAAAGGAGCTGAACTGGGCTTTGAACACAAAATGCCAGTGTTGAGTCTGAAATACCATCAGTTTCATGCACTATGGCTATTGCTATGCAGACCACAAGCTATGGCAGCTTTGTTTTGGCGTTTACCATCATGACAATGTTTAAAAGACTAGAACACCTCTACTATGAAGACTGAGAGATTTGGAGTTGCTCAGCCAGGAGAAGAGAGCTCCAGAGATACTTTACTGAGGCCTTTCAAACTATAAAAGCAGGTTTACAAGAAACAGAGCAAGACTTTTTAGCAAAGCTTGTATTGACAGGACAAAGGGCTACAGTTTTAAACTAAAAGAGGGCAGGTTTAGATGGACAAGAGAAAGAAATTTTTTACAGCGAGGGTGGTGAGGCATGGGAACAGGGAACTTCTTCAGAGAACTTGTGGACATCCCATCACTGGGAGTGTTGAAGGGCATGTTGGATGGGACCTTGAGAAATTCCATGCAGAGACAGACAACCCTGTCCATGGCAGGGGTGTTGAACTAAATAGTCTTAATTTAAAGGTTCTTTGAAACTCAATCCAATCTGAGATTATAAGACTGCTGCATGGAGTAGCAGTCTCACCTACAGCTGTTAGACTCGATCAGATCCTCAGTAGGTTCTGACTCTGTAGGGAACTGATTGCTCCTCACACCAGTGGAAAACTAACAGAGATGGAGGAGCCTCAGCACTCCACAGGGAGTTTTTCATGCCTACAATAGTGAGGTATGAAGTAGCTTGTCCAAAGGGAGAGACTTATCCTGATAGTGTAGAGCTCAGTGTTTATCAGAATACAGCAGCACTGCAAAGCAGCTGGTTTTGGACAATCCAGATGGGCAATTTAATGTTTCTATGAGTTCTATACCTACAGATTTGTAAACCAAACTTTAAAAGCTCTATTGTCACAAATCCAAACACTTTCTCTGAGAATGCGCTGCATTACCTGAACAATTGCTGGATGCTGTGTTGACACATACAAATCCATTTCCTTATCCTCTCCTTTTGGAACAGCAAGCGTACTCTGAGTCTCCATGTAAAAGTGTTTCTGTCCCCCAATGCAGATCTGCCCTGATCCAGTAAGAAAAACACAAGTGTTACTGAGGGGAAAGGACAGAAGAAATGAACCAGAGAAGAACTAACAGCCCACCATCATGTAAATTATGGCAATCGGTGTCAAATCCTCTGATACTTCTTGTGTGAAAGAGCAACATCTAAAATAAAAACACAAATTAAAATCCTTGTAAGATTAAATTGCTCTTGTTCCAGTAGCATCACCAGAACTGGATTAAGAGCAGAACACTATTGCCCACAAGTGGCGACAACAATAAATAAAGCATAGATAAGTTAAACAAAGCAGGCACATCCTGGACCAGGTCAGGAAGAGGGCCACCAATATCCTCAGGGGGCTGAACCACAGGATGTATGAGAAGAGGTTGAGAGAACTGGATTTATTCATTCATAAGAAGAAAAGATCTTGTTGCTGTCTACAACTATCTAATGGAAGAGTATAGACAAGAGCAAGGCAGACTGTTCTCAGAGATGCCCAATAGAAGGATAAGAGGCAATGAACACAAGAAATTCCAGCTAGATATATAAAAAAATCAAAATCAGCATGAAAAGTGGTGAAACACTGGAACAGGTGCCTATTGATGTTGCATAATCTCCATATTTGGAGATATTAAAAACATGACTGGACATGGCCCTTAATAACCTGCTCTAAGCAGACCCGCTTTAAGTAGGAGGTTGGACTAAGAGACTCCCTTCCAACCTAATTATTCTGTAACTTTTTTCGAGAACAGATGATGCAAAAAGCTTGACTGCAGTAGCAGAACAACAATACACCAGGTTTAGTCACATTGTCCTCCAAGTGCCCAAGAGTTTGCTCAGGCCTAACGACTACATGGAAAAAAAAAGAACTGGCACTTGAAGAGCAGACGGCCAAACCCAAATACTGACAACCAAAAATTTCTTATCAAATATATTCTACAGTTTACCTTCAATTATATGATCAACAGTTTCAAATGCCTCATCAACATTTCCTTGTTCTAATTTTCTTTTTGGCTCAAAGAACGAGTTGTGTTTTATAGCTTCCTGCAATGGAGAAAAAGGGGGATTTAAGTATTTTTAAGATTCTCAGCTTGTTGCAGCATTTTAATCTCAGGACCAATACTGCTGTCTTCAGAGACCGGAACCACCAGCTACCAAAGTCAATGAACAACTTTATTTCATCACTTTACTATCATTGTTGAGTTGTTTTTTCAGTATCAGCAAGTCTTTCCTGATGCATCTTGTGTAACTGATGACAGCAGTTTCTGAAAGAAATGCAATCAGTTTAGTAAACCTGCTCTTCCCTGCCATACATCCAGGGAGTGGACAAGACACCAGAGTAAGAATGCAACCGCATCATCCAAAGAGTGATGCCAGTAAGAGGGGAAGAAATCACAAGGACTAAGCAAAGGTGGAATCAATTCATAAATTAGCATTTGTTTTATTTCTAATAAGATGTAATTGGAGTTTCAATTCTAATGAAATGTTAACAAAATTGTCAGGCTTTGTCTATTTTTCTATCAGAAAGACTGTTCCATTAGACCACACATTATTAAAACAAGCTGTAAAGTGACTACAGAACTAATGCTGATTCCCTGCAAGAGTATCATTTGGCCCTTACTTCTACTGTCTTTAATCCAGGGTAAGTCCATATTACGCCCACATTACACCTCTAAAATGTTGTACATCCCTAACACCTTTCCTTCATATTCCCCCAACAATTCCTACTGCTCCAGACTAGCTTTCAAGCTAGACAACAGATAAAAATGCTGGAGATAATCAGGAGGTGACTATATAGTGTTAGCCACTATACACATGCTGACTGATCAGCTGGTACCTACCAAAAAATTAGAAACCAGCACGTTCAGTGCCTTTTCCTCACTGGGAACATTAGGAGATTCCTTTTTTTTGCATTCTAATGTTTATGATTGTAAAACTTGTGAAACCTTCATACTTTTGAAACTGTTGCCTGTCTATCACAAGTGACCAAAATTAGACAAAAGGTTAAAAATTTATTTATAGGGAGATACTCAGACTGCTTAATTGGATGTTCAAATTAATCTTGTTTCCTTAAATATCATATTTAAAAAGCAACTAAAGAGTGTGAACTGCTGCTTCCATTAGTTAAATAGGTAAAACAGTAAAAAAAAGCAGGAGAAATTATTAGTACCTCAATTGTTAAAATTACTGGTTCCAGCATTTCATACTCTATCTTCACTTTTGCAGCTGCTTGTCTGGCATGAACATCTGAATCTGCAACCACAGCACAGACAATCTGACCCACACAAATCACCTGTAAAATACACATCACGTAATGTAGCATGGATTAAAAAAATTCCCATATGTGCTATTGAAATTCTTATTTTACGTAACCACCACTTATGTTTTCTGTTCAGAAGTTTTCTTTGACTTAGGACTTTGTATTTTTACATCATCTATGAAGTTAACAAATTCTAAAAATACCACTATAACTACACAATCAAGGAAAATACAGTATTCAGAAATGGACAGTGGAAGGATAAAAGGCTGGAGAAAATACAGTTAAAATTAAGAAAATCCGTTTCAAAAAGATTGTAGTTATACCTCGTTTCTTGCAAATATAATCTCCGGATCATCAGAAAAATAAAACTCATTTGTAGCTGGCACATCATGAGCTGTTATGACATCAAACACACCTGCTCCTTTTAGGGCCTCTGAGGTATCTATAGATCTAATTAGGATATGGGAAGAGAGAAGTGTAATTCATTAATCTTACAAACTGCTCACAGAGGAAGGTAACACAAAACCGAGGTATATTTCTTGTACTACCAAGATCTGTTCATAGACTCACACACATAGACTCCTTTCTTCCTGTCTCTGGCATGTGGAAAAGTACAGATAAAAGAGAATTTAAGATTCTACTAATCTCCTTCATTTTGAGGAGATAATTTAGATACAACAGGGAAATCATTGGCCCATTAGATTGCCTGAACTGCACTGCTTTAATAAAAGTCACTGCACAATTATGATGCTACAACTGCAACTTTCTAAGACCTCATAGCCTATATATATATATATTGCAAGATACAAATAGTCATTTTCAGATGGAGGATTTGCGTAGAGATATAAAAGAAATGACAAGACTAGTATAAATGGAGAAGGAATGGAAATGTCTAGATGTAGAAGGATCAGAGGAAGAGCAGAAGGTCCGTAAGAATAGCATGTTTTGATAGCATCTAGTTCAGCAGGTCATCAGATCCCAGTACATGTACAGGCACCTCCTCTGGACACCCACTGCTAGAATAGGTGTATCTTGGTAGCATAAAAGCATACATGAAAGCAGTTTTCTTACAAAATAAAATCCTCTTCTCTACCCTTCTCTCCTATAAGCCTCATATGAGCTTTGCCACCTTGTTGCTGCAATGTTGCCACACCATTTATTACAATTTGGACAATTTTCTTTTTTCATCATAGAGTTGAAGTTTCAAAGCCATGTTGGTAAAACTGAATCTCGAGGTCTGCTTGCACTGCACAGCTGAGCACTTTGTGGAGGTAGCTAGGCTAGCTCTGGGCTGGTTTATGGACCAGAAACAGTTCATCCTTACTAGTACAGTAAAATGGAGTGAGACAATTAAATCCTAACAAACCCTTCTACTAGTGCAACAATACTGTTTCCAGCACGGATTTGCCTGCAGGTATGAGGCATGCTGGTCTTTACACACATATCTCATTAGTCTCCAAAAATCTCAGGCAGCAATTCATGGTATCACTTTCTTCAGGTCCACTTTGAACACTTACAGAATCTTAGCATGAGCTCTGGAACTAGTGACAGCAGCCAGGAAAAGCTCCCCATCCACAGAAGGAAGGTCATCAATGTAGATTGCTTCACCAGTGGCGTGCTTTATCCCAGACTGGTGCATAATGGGCCGTCCTACAGGGTCCTGAGGAGACTGGCTCGGCTCTACGTCCTGTACAGTCAGAAACACACACCCAGAAACCCCAGTTAAAAAAGAACAGTCCTGTTATTCTTACAGTAATCAGAAAATTGAATGAATGAACAGGTGCTCATACTATCATCCTCTGGTTCAACACTGGAAAAGAAGTGGCTGCAGGAGGTGACTGCTGCTCCTGGGGATTTTTTTCTCCTCATTTCTTCTCTTATGGACCCTTCCGACAGCACCATACAGGTTTGTTTACTTGGACTTTTTTCCTTAATTATTTACATCAAAGTGAGAAACCCAGCACTTTTTCAGAAGGACATTTTCCTCTTACTGAATGGTGTCATGGACCTTTCATAATTTTCTGAATTATTCTCACAAGATTCTGCTCTGAATGTTATCAGTCTCAGGTAGAGTATTGTGAGCTATTTGCAATGATCTCTAGGATTTGTCTTCCTCACTGAAAGAGTGCAAATGATCAGTGTAAATCAGTGAGAAAATATTGCCAAAATATTTTCTTCCCAATGATTTCCTTGTACCTGTATGAATTTTGTATGAAATGATATTATTAATCTTTGCTGAATTTTTTGAAAATTAATTCAATGTTTCCAGTTAAATCCGCCACATCAACTAATGCTGCCAACTTCCAGAAGACCTTAACCATTTTTGTGTCAGTATTCATGCTAACTTTTTCTTTTCTACATTTAGAATTACTTAATTGTTTACAACTTAAAATGTTTTTACTTCTAAAGCTTCAAGCACACAAGTGTTCAGGCTACATATTTCTACCTCCTGCACATTCTGGCACACTGTCTGCTATTGGCACAAAGTCAAGAACAAACACTCTTCACGTGACTGCCTAAAGTTCCTCAAATGGATGCCTCAGCCAAACCACTTCAACACTTCCACAACAGAATGACACGGTATTTAGACTTCATCTTAATTTTAAAAGCTTAACAATGTCCAAATGAAGCACTGCAGACAAAAAATATGGCCTTACAAAATCTGAATAGAAATTTAAAGTGGAAAAACTCAGATTTTGTGGGTTTCTAAATTTCTATTGCTCAGTGCCAATTGATCTGAGAAACAAATTGTTTCAATTTCTGATGTTCAGTCACTTTATTACAGATGGGGAATAAACTGGGAAAAGTCACAGAAAAATAGTCCCCTTGATCCTGGCTCTTCTTATTGCCTGTTTGTTTTATTTTAAGTAAGAATAAAAATAACAACCTGAAAGAAACTTAAGATAACAATTTGAACAAATTTAAAGTATTTAAAGCTGAAGTATTTTTCTGGGGAATATCCAAAAACTAAAAGAAAAACAAATATTTACCTATATTTCATGTGAATTTTTCTTTATATTTTCAAAGGTTAGTATTTTGACTTGTGTATTGAGGGTGTCAAAAGATCAAAAATCCTTGTGGGTATTTTCACCATGAGCTATTTATACAGTGAGCTCAGAAAATAGCAAACATGTTCTTTGCTGCTCTCTACTGTTGATTTAGGACAACTTGCTCATGTTAATTTGAGCACCCAACCATCACAAACCATCTTAATTCCTAAATCTACAGTAGCACCTAGGAGCTCCCTGAGATCTTGAGACAACAGTACTATAGCTATGCTACAGTATATATATACTATACCTGGGCTTTTCAATCTTTTTTTTGTTTTTTTCTCATTTCTTTCTAACTGGGTTGCACACTGCAAGAAACCAAACAGTCTGACAATGGAATTTGCTTAGCACATTTATCTTCAAAGAACTGTCTAGAAGTGAGCATACCCCAGAATCTATTTTTACAAACAAGGATTCTCCAAATGAGATGCAGTTAAAATCAACCACTAAAAGCCTCTTGCTTCCAGTCCTTTGGAAAATCTGTACCTGGCCTTCACACCAAGGCTCATGCTTGAACAGTGACTTTTTACCTAGTCCTATAAAGCACAAAACAATGTCAGAATTAAATCACTTGCCTGGTATATTTGGATACTCTGGGGCATTCTGTTTTTGAAATCTTGTAGGACACTCCCATATTCCACAGGTATGCCAGGATAATGGCAAGGATCCTGAAAAAGCAGTGAATTACCACTAAAACTCACATTTTGAACATTCCAATTAAAAAAAGCCAACAACCAAAATCAAACATAAAAAAGCAACACAAAATTTTTATACAGGAAATGCTTTCCAGGTTCAAACTAGACAGGCTCCAAAATAACAATCTGAAAATAATGTAGAGGTTTTAGATGTCGCTAAATAATATTTTAAAATATACTGGATTCAACAACTATGCTTTTTAAAGTAAGCAACATAAAGTAGGGACAGACAGAGGAGCTTTGTTTTGAGGTCTGATCAAAACTAGCTCAGCATCACTCCTGGTAGTAAACAATCACCTAGTAATGGCAATTTAGGGAAAGAGCTCAAGGTAACACAGAAGAAAAACATAAAAGGGATATTCTTCTCCGTAAGAACATATTTAAGAAATAAAAAAAGAAAAAGAAAAAAGTAAATTACAACTAGAATGTCTTGGCAAGTGAAATTTTAGTGTCCTCATCTCCCAGTCAACAGCTCATATAAGAAGAAGGGTTAGTTTAGTATCTACAGGGTTTTTTCCAAGGCCTTTATACCTTTTTCATCTGTTTCTGTTTTGAACTATAAACAGAGTAAGATTTTTTTAATATTTTCTTTGGGTCTGGGAGATGGCTCCTGGTATGTTGTTGTATAAATACTGCTCAAATGTCTTTTAAAGCCTAATGTTCAATGCAAAGATACCTGAGCATCTAAAAGTGAAATGGGCATCTCTCCATCAGACTCTTTGGGAGTTAAACACTTAGGTTAGTGTGTAGCTCCAAACACCAAAGCCAACGATTTAGCACATTGTACAAACAGCAAACACTAACCTATAGCAAGAACACCCCATTTATTTGCTTGCACAAGAACAGCCATGGGGAATGCTTGATTTGCTCAGCCTGGAGGCAACTCAAGGGAGACCTCACTGACGTCTTCAACAGCCTCACAAGGGAAAGTGGAGGGGCAGGTACTGACCTCTTCACTCTGCTGAGCAGTGACAGGACTGGAGGAAACGGCATGAAGCCAAGAGGGGAGAGCTTTAGGTTGGATATCAGGAAGAGATTTTTCACCCAGAGAGTATCTGAGCACTGGAACAGGCTCCCCAGAATAGTGGTCACAGCCCCTAGCCTAAGCTCAAAAAGCCTTTGGACAACGCTATCAGGCACATGGTGGGAATCCTGTGGTGTCCTGTGCAGGACCAGGAGTGGGATTCAGTGGTCCTGACGGGTCTCCTGTAACTCAGTATATTCCATGATTTTATGATTCCATGAACTCATTTACCATTGTCTTCAATGACTGTGATACTTCCAGGAAAAATCTGTAGAAGAAACTGACCATCAAAGTTTTCTTATAGTCTACATTTTCACCACCAGCTAAGCCTGGAACAGCCATTTCTTTAAGAATTAGTCTGCATGCTTCATCCAACATTTGTTCATTCCAGTGTCTGTTAGGAAGAGTAATAGATACAATAAGACTAGAACTAATAAGAAATAAATACAGATTGCAGTAATATATGTATACCATCGACCACAGACATAATCCTGCTCACAATGAAGCCAAAATGCTGATTCTAATAACGTCTGCAATTTTTTAAAGTGGTGTAGATCAATGTTGCTCACAGAGCTGAGCTCCCGTAAACTGAATTAAGTGCTATGCCAGCATTTTAAAATAAACAAATACATAATTAAATAAACCCTATTACAGCCTTAAAGCTGCTTTAGCAGTCTTACAGCTTCTCACCATATTGCAGATACTATCCTATATTTGAAGTAGATAAAGATGCAAAACATAGATACTTTCAAGGGATCTAATTAGCTGTTACATTTCCCGAGAGCGCTGTCTTCTTCAAGTATCTCAACACTCTTAATTCTCTGTGGTTACACAACCGCAGATATCAAAATATTAGTCTGTTAGACTAAATTTAATCATGCAAAGCATCAAAAAATAATGAGTACTTCAACTAATTAAACAGTTGCATATTAAATGGCAAACCAGGCCAGTGGAGCTACATTTAGCATTTTTATGCTGCCTGAATTTGCAGGTTTTTTCCTCCAAAACTTGGAAGGGTGCTGCAAACTGGGAGGGAAAGTCAGGCACTAATTCCAGAGATTATTGGGACCTTGTAGATGAAGAGATGTTGAAAAGGTGAAGACTTGACTTGTGCTTCTAACTTTATTTGGAACATCTAAAGTTCTCAAACTTTGTATCTTTTAGAGACAAGCTGAAGAACTCAAGAACACTGATGAGGGGATTATCAAATGTATTGGATACAGAGTAATTTCCCTTACTTGGGTTTAGGTGCACAATTGACTGGTGTATACCTCACCTACCTGTCTCACAGCTCATCTCTCTTATCTCTCTGCATAATTCACACCAGAGCTGCACTTCATGTGCGAACTCCAAAACAACAATCCTGGTAAGTCATCATTAAGGTTTGATCATTCCCTTGAACATACATCATCATCAGTCAGGTAAATGAAATCTTTCTGTACTTTCATGTTCCAGGGAATGTGAACCCAAGCTTTCAAAGTCCATTTGTTCAGAGACACACACAAGACAGAAACATTTTACCTTCCAGTAAGTGTCCAACAGGTTTGTTTGGCACAGACTGTTGTCGAGACAGCACCTCCATAGAAAATGCTTAGATCCTTTATAATGTCTGTACCTTCTTCGAAAAGGACTCTCATCCCAGCATTGGTTATTGGAAGAGCATTTTCCCTTCTTGGTGCTTGTCGAAATGCAGAGACATACTCCCCCTGAGCAAGATCAGACAGAAGTGTGGACATGTAAGTATCTGAAAGTAGAACTTATTATTGCACTATGTGAAGCAAGAGAACAAAAACGAAGAGCACAAATTCAACTTCCTGAGCATTCAAGACCATGCACTTTCTTCTCTTGACCTTCCAGTACCATCTTTGATTTTCTAGCAGCTCATACCCGACCCTCCACCATCTACACTGTTCAGATTACCCAGATTTTTCATGGCAGATAACTGGAGGACAGGGATTTTCTAGAGTTGTATTTATAACAAGACCATAAGTTTAGAGGCTTCCAAGTATTGCCAAACTTCAGTATTCAGGTAACATAATTCTCTTGTAAGATCCCATATCCACTCTTGCAAACCAGTATCAGTCAATGACTATTATTCAGTTCAGTAACATTTATGGAACCAACATACACACATCCAATCTTATCCCATTTCAAAGAAATATCCTCAGGAGATGACAATGATTCACCTCTTTGATGCCAGCCATATAACAGGTGACCAGTCTGCTTTGGTGAGCACAATGGCAACTTGTCCAAGACCCCTTTCCATAGGGGATCTAGACAACTGCTATTGCGCTCATCATTTTAGGGCAAACTTTGGTCTGAATATTATTCTTTGTATAGCATCTCCAGCTACCTGCTGAGTTGTGTTTTTTGGCAGAAAATGGGAGATAGTATGGCACTGAAGCCAATAAATATAAGGAATTCAGAAAGCGAGCAGTAACAGTGCTAGTTTAAATAGATGGATTATGCCCCTTCCTGCCCTTTATTTCATAAATGAAATGAAATGCCCTTATTGCATAAAGTAATTGCATTACTTTTCATAAAGTAAATTTCATATTTCATAAAGGCATTTCATTTAACTCTGAATAAAGCAAATCTAAACAAATAACTTACCTTCCTAGAATAGGGAATATGGATAGAGACTAAGACCTCTTCTGGTGTAATGGTATTGTTACCAACTCCATCTGCAAATATATCACTCATAGGAATATGTCGCTTTTGTCCTAAAAAAAAAATAAAAAAAATCCCAAATCCAGAAAATTCCATACAATTGTGCAATTAACACATATCAATAATATTTTAATTGGCAAGAAATACTTGCTGCTTTCCTGAAAAAATAACCACTACAGAGCTTACATAAAAAATTATCAGTGATATGTTCTATAAATTCAAATGGTTGCTCAATCTTCCATAACCTCATAATACCAGATTCCTAAAAAGGTATCCAGAGGTTAATTCCCATTCTATAATCCTCCCTTCCAATACTGCCGTGATGATCCCACCCTCACTCCTGTCAATCTATTCCAAATCTCTGCAGCTGCTGTCATAACTACCTTTCAATCTAAAACATAAAAACTGAGGAACTGAGTAGTAAAGAACTGCAGTAAAAGTAAAAAATTTTTAGGAAGGTAGGGCTTTTGGGTTCATTTCTTCCTTTCTTTGTTTGCTTTTCCCCTGAGATTCTGAACAATTCCAGGAGTCCAGAAAGAAATAAATGGTATTGCTTTTTAATTTCTCTTTTTGACATTTTATTCTAAAAGTGACCATACTTGCTATTCTATGACATATATTATGAAAGTTAAATTTTTCAAAAGGGAAGACGACAAAATTCTGCAAGGAACCTGCATCTCTAAGAGCCCTTTGAACACTTAAAACCTCATTTATGCTACAGAGAGAAAGGCTATCTCCTCCTACCTCTTGAAGCCAGATTGAGAATGCAGTTGCTGGCTGCCAGAACAGGATTCAAGTCTGAGGTTGATTTTCTACTTATGATGTTTCCACCAAAAGACTTGGAAAAAAAAAGTAGTTTATGTTACCTTTCTCTGTAATCGTCGTATTTTTATGTTAAGTGACAATACGGCATGCAATCTACAAGTACACTTATACATATTGAAAGCTATAAAAAGAGGTATTGATAAAAAATTCATGGCAAAATCAAAATTGCACGTTTTTGTGGTCAGGACCAATTTCACATTTGTTACAATTTTTTCAAACTGTAAATGCAAGTAATTCCCAACGTACAGCAACATTTCTTATCTGTTCTCCGCCCAGAGTTCTCAATTGCTGCAAGACAGCACAGAAAACCCTCGTCTTCTCTTCAGGGAACTCGGCAATTGCATTTGTCAAGATGTCTTTCACTAGAGAGAGGCTGCAGGCAGCTCCCAGAGTTAATCCTGTAACCAAAAGATGATGAAAGTTAATGTGTGCATTGCTTTATTGCCTGGGTTTTAAAGTGTGTTCAGACTGTAGAGTTAGGACAGCTCATGTGGCCTAAGGCAGATAAAAGGAGAGGGGTCTTTGCATTTTAAAGGAACTGCAACCTTTCACTTCAGGAGACTGAGGGTAAAATCCCTAGAAATTATGAAAACGAAGTAATACCTCACCTCTTCTGCTTAAAGGGAAATCCCTTCTCTGCTTCCAGCTGCACATCCCAACTGCTTCCCTTGCACCTTGTTTTTGACTGAGTAAATGTTTAGGAGACGTTTCACACAAAGGTGAGTCAGCTTCAAAATGCTTTCAACAGACTTCTTATTTTTAAGCATGATTTTCATCCTAATTTGATCTTGCTCTGCATATGTACATTCTAGTTATTCTTCTAAGGTGTGAGTAGGCTGCATTGGCAGCAAAAACCCAAATAGTCCTAGCAATGAAGATAGTATTCTTTTACCCACCAGAATGACAACTCATATGCATTTACTTAAGAAATTTTTTGGTAAGATGATACTTCTATTTTTTTTAAATGGTACACAGTTCCTTTCTATTAAAAATAATTATTTACATAATACACGAATGTTTTCAGTCAATACTGGAATTCAATTAAAAGTATAAATGAAAATATAAATAAATTTAATGAATTTTAATCAAGCAAAGCAGTATTAAATTTTGTGTGTTTAAAAGAACATTTAATCAAAACATATTTTACATTTAAATCTGATTAAAGAGAGGAAATGCTATTTCTGGCTGGCAAACTAAACTGTGTATCTCTTGTTTTAGAACTAGTAAGTCTCACCTTCAAATACCTTTTATTTACACACTTTAAAGAAGCAGTAGGCATTCTCCCAGCTTCTTTTCAATTCCTAGCTACTTTTCAGCTAAGAACAAATTAATCTTTGAATAGAACTGGACGACTGATCTGAAATAAAACAGATATTCTAAATGCAGTGACAGACCTATCAAACACAGTTTATCACTTAAAAAAAAAGTGACTTCAGGATATAGCAAGTAATTTCATCAGATATGACCTTCCTTAAAGCTTTGGCTATAAGCTTGTCCAAAGTAATTTTTATTCAATTACTTTAGACTATTATACTAAGTTGAAACCTATTTCTAGTTGTATTTCTAATCACCAGGAATTTATTTAAAACCCAAAACCTAGTCTAACTGAAAAAAACCTCTATGTTTATAATAAACATGTAATTTGAAGTAAAACAAATATTTTAACCTATTATAATTAATGCTGTTATGATTGAGAACTAGATTAATTAATGCATATCAGCTATGCCAGTTTAATCACAGCCTTTTTTCTAACATAACCAGGCATGCCACATGCTAACTCTCCCTGTGGTTCCACCCAAGTCTCTCCCTGCTATTCAGCAGAGCCTGGTACAGCAGTCACAAAGCAAATCCTGCATGACTGAGCACCAGAACCAGCATTACCAGAATAATCACCCTCACACTAAGGCCCAAGATAATATTGCTGGTCAGCTCTGCACTGCGTCATGAAGACAAAGCCATCCTGCACTGTGATGTGGCAACAGCCCCCTTAACCTGTGAAAGAGCCAAGTGTGCTTGGGAATGAGCTGCACAGCACTTCACACCTTCAGCACTCTGGAATGGTGCAGCACTCTTTACTGCAAAGAAATCTCCTATTTCTGAAAAAAGTAAAGTCTACTGACCATCATTTGTGTATTTCAGCACATTCAGATCTGGGATCCTTGCAGGAGCAATAAGAACTGGATGGAACACACCTCTGAATTTCATGTCAGGTCCTACAAGATAGGAATAGACTTAGACAAAAGGCTTTTCTGTAACAACTCCCACATAGTGGAATGTAAGCTTAAGGATGAAGATGCAAAAAGGACAAATGTAGCCCCACGCCTCTCCTGCAAACTGGAACTACAGCAACAGGAGCCATTCTGATCACATACATACCCACACTGGTGTTCCCAACCACAAGAGGTGCTTTAGGGTGAGTGGCTTTCAGATCCAGCAGTTCATCCAAGCTTACAGGAGAAATCCACGTTACTCGCTCCCCACGAAAAAACAGAGTTCTTTTTGGTTGATTTTCTGCCATTCTCTGATGGAGAAATATGGCAGATTTAAATACTTAAGACATATAGACAGAAGTGAGGTCTAATTGACACTAGACTGAAAGTCAAAAATGTTCTTAAACAACAGCAGTTCTACATAATCCTTTAAAATTGGGCAAAAAGGGGACAAATGTTACGCTGGCTCTTTGCACAGTGGTGAAAGTTGAGACTGTGTGGGTGAAATGTCTTCAAGTAATTTCAATGGGCTAATAAACAAGATTGATAATAAACAGTTCCCTAGCAAAAGGGGTAGGAATAGACTCTGCAATTACTAAAACTGTTAGAAAAGTGATAAAAAATACTTAGGGAGGTATTTGCCCACTTAGCTTGCTTGGAGAGCACCAATGACACTTCTAGATTATGCATGCACTTAAGTGTCTCTGGCTGTTCTAGCACTGTTCACTGATCACTTGGAAACAGCTTGTGAACCAGTGCAGGTACAAACACACAGTCAAGAAATCCTGTCCTACAGCTATCAACCCTTCTCCAGAAGCAGTCAGCTAACGACAGGCAATCTGGCTTTGAATCTCTACCCTGACAATAAAGTATAACAAACAGCTTTCAGTTTTTCTAGGGCAAATAATTAAGGGTGCCTAACACTTTCCATTCCAGCTGTTTCTATCTTTGGCATGCCTTAATCAGTGGGGCTAAACACTCTCTGATCTGGGTGGCTATCTGAGAACAGACTAACAAAACTATTAAGCCACAAAAATGTTTGCCATTCAGTTTGTTGCGAAGTATTTTTATCTTCAGCTGCTGGACTGAAAACCCAGTTTAGGTTGCTTCTTCATCTTTTCACCTAACACCTAATTATTCTGCAACTTCATTTTCCCAATATGACTTTTTTGGGTATGTGAATATTCAGTAAGCTTCCTGGGCAAAATATCAAAAGGAGTACAATAACATTTAAATGTTTTGCTATTTCTTCTGATTAATTACTGCTAAGCAGGACTCAAGAATTAATTCTGAACAGAGCATCAGAATAGTCTATAAGCAGCAAAAGTTACCATTAGTTCTGGAGGGAATATAAGCTCCTGGGTGGGATCTAAGGGCTGGAATTCATCTGCTGAAAACAGGCTGGCGGAGACCTTAAAAAGAAGACAAGCAAAGACCAAGAATTTTCTCTCATCATTAATTTCATACAACAGCAATAAAAGCAAAAGCAAAACCAAACCAGGAGGCTCCCACTGAAGTCAGAAAAAAATTAGTCACTTCATTATGATTTGGATTTGTTGTTAAATCACCATGCATCATTTGGAGGTGATGAGGTGAAAGAAGTGTTCATAACATTTTCTTAAATTGTACTGCTAACATAAATTGCAGAAGCAAGCAACGGAAGGACTAAGTACAGATTTCCTGTAGTTCACTATAACAAAGTAGTTTCGTGCCAACCTAAAGTACTCAAAACCCAAAGAAGTAGATCCCATACTACTGAAAGAAAATTGAGAACAAGGTGAAATATTTGTATGGATAAGAGGTTTCACATAAAATCCCAATCATAGCTCTAATTTTTAAGAGTGTATCAATTCTTCAGACTCAAGTCAACAGTTTTCCTAAGAGACCAGTACGTAGAGCATCACTGATCACTGATTTAAGCAGATTTCACATATGCCCTAATGTCTTGCACAATATAATTCTCACTGTATTGGTAGAGGTCAGACTATTAATATTACTGAACCTGAAGAGCTATTCAAATCTTAGCTCTGGAGAGACAAACTACCTTATACAATTATCTGACACATCACTACCTCCTCATAAAAATATACACATAGAATACTCAATTTTTCAAAATATTTCCAAATTTCTTGTGAGGAATAATAAAATACCTTATTTATCAAATACTATATGCAATAGTCTAAGTTTTATATTGAAGTAGGGTCAGTAACACATTTAAAACTTTACCTGCTCTTCATTGTCAAACAAATCATCTTCCTGATCCAAGCAACATTTTCCATTTGCTTTTCTTTGACAACAAATGGATTCCTAAAATAGGAATATCCCATTAGTGAAATACTGCCCAGAATGGCAATGAGTTAAAGCTCACAAGAGTGACTCTGTATTTCAATAAAGTTCTAGATGAAGTTTAATAACAAGCTGAATTAGAACGATTGTTAAAGGAGTGATATTAAAAAATAATTTAAAATCATCAGATGTTGAAGTCCCTAATACAAAATAATTCCTACTATGTAGAATTCAGTTGACATTGTGAGAGCAGATGTAGATGGTCTCTATTGGTTCCTTTACCAACTGTTCACTCCCATTTCTCCTCTGTAGGTTTCTGACACATTGCATTGCATAATAAATTACTAAGAATATAGACTGAAATTCTGCTTTTACTCATGTCAGTACTAACCCACAGTAAACCACATGGAGTTACTCAAGATTATTCTTCATAACCCAGGTGAGACACCATGTTCATTTGTGTTAATCAATTTTTGTAATGGGTTAGGCTATTTACTCAGAATGGCATCTTTAAACAGAGGGAAGGGATGATCTAAATGAAAATCCTGATGGCTTGTATATGCATATTCACTGATGGCCCCAATCTAGCAATCCTATTGCCATTATTTCTTACCTTACAGAAGGTTTTACAGGCATCTAGGATTGGCCGGTATCCAGTACAGCGGCACAAGTTCCCTGAAGGAAGGAAATCAGTCAGAAAAAGCTTTGCTCTAAAGTCAATGGCTTTAGAAAGTCATGTCTTTATGTGAGTTATGTGAGTTTTGTGGTTTTGAAGTTCAAGAAGTGTTAGCTCTCAAAAAGACAAAATAGTACAGCATCACGAGACTTAGGACCTGCAGCTTCTACTGCTGTTTCAAGAGGAGTAGGAAACAGTTGAGATCTGCACTAGAGGGAATGCTGGCTATAGCTCAGTATGCAGTAGAATAAGAGACTGGAATATATTCTTCACCCACTCAAAACGTTATTCTCTTTCCCTCGACTTTTTTCTACAGGTGAAGGAAGTTAAGAAAAACCTGTTTTAATCCTACTGCAAAGGGCCTGTCCTGCAAGGCTTATGACATTCTCAACTCCAGATATAAAGGGACTTCGGAGATGCTCAGAGGCAGCTGCTTCTCAATTATGACCTCGTTTTTGCACATCTGATTTTAAGCACTTCAGAAGACACATATGGGGATGTTCTGAACACCTGAAACAATCCACAGCTCCATGTTTCATTTTCCAGGAGAAAAGAATGACAGGGAATACAAGGTCTGCATCCAGTAGCAACACTTCTAGGAAGCACAGTTTGTAAGAATACATCATCCATGCATGCAAGCATGTATACTCACACAGACAGGCACTCACACAAACAAAGCATCTGAAGAAATGCTTCAGGAACACACTTGCAAAATAAAAAGTGGCAATATTTACCAGCCAGAGCTGCAATCATCTGCTCTGAAGTTGGTTCTGGATGGTTTCTTAGCAAAGTGTATATGGACATCACCATTCCAGGTGTGCAGAAACCACACTGGGAGCCATGGCACTTGGCAAGTCTTTCCTGAGATAAAATACCAAAAACAACACTCCTTCCAGCACTCATCTCCATTCTAATAAGTGCTCTCTTAAATGGGAGATGCCATACACAATGTTGCCCTTTGTAATAAATCAGACTTTTTAAGTAAAACACTTTAAGTAATACCAAATGAGAATAATTATTTTGGGTGTGATGTTCAGGCACATTTTACTAAAGAAGCTAATTAACTTTCAGTGGACTCCTGTCTTTTTTTGCATTTATACTATAACATGAGCCAAAGGGATATTGCACGAGATGTGTAGCCCAAAGAGAGCAAAGCCTGACCCACTCCAACAACCATTATATACCAACTATTTGATCAGATTTTTAATATTAAAGTAAGATCCATCAGGAGCCACGTCATCAGCCTTGATCAATTAACCACCAGAAACCAATGTTGTCCTCTGCTGTCATTTAGCAGGGAAAACAACCATCTTATGAAATTCCTATGCCCTAAAAGCACTGTCACTAAAGCCATCCCATCCAAAAAAAAAATAAGTAATCCTCCTATACAGTGATACTGTACTCTCACCTGAACTGGATGAATCCTGGTTTTTGTACTTCCAACACCCTCCACTGTAGTCACTGCTGCACCATATAAGGAGCAAATGGGAAGCAAACATGCATTGGCTGAATAGTGTCTTTGGAACATAAAGGAGAATAAAGAACATGAATATTATTATAATAAACAAGTCTGAGTATTATTTTTCAGTCAATCAAGACATAGGTCACACTTACAAAGCAGCCACTATTAACATTTGGAATGAGAAGGGATCACTTTCTAGCTATGTCTCTTGTCCCCTGTATAAAAATGTATCTATGAGGCCAGTTCCATGGAATTTACATCTTCCTTAATACCTCAGTCTTTTCTAATTGCCCTCTTGTCTGTCTTGCCCACAAGCAATCTGTCAACTGTATTTTGGAGGAGGAAGATAGGGAAGGGAAGATTGGTGTACTCATTGGAAGGAAGTAAAGAATTACTGCTGCAAATTTATAATCAAAATTCTGATCCAAAGGAAATTCTGATGTAAAATAAATATACTAAATAGGAACAGCACACCAAAAAGAAAATTCTTCAAAGCATTTAATAATTTTAATAAAATTGGTTTTTTAATACAGTTGAAATGTTTCTTTTCAGGAGTCTACTTTAATTTTAGCTCTTTCATTAACTTTAAACAATTTCATTTGTTTTGCATTCCAATGTAACTGTACAAAAGGACAACTGGAATGTTTTTTCCCCCACCTAATAAACACTTCAGTGCACAATGACATCTAACCATTTAACAATTTGATTGGAGTTTTCTCAACTTAAAAGCAATTTATTCCAGTTTTTAGCTTACTGGAAATTTAGTTTTGAGTTTCAAAATCTTTCTTTTCGTGGGTAGGGTGTAATAGATGGAGTTCAGTATTAAAGGGCTGGTAAGACACACTTCTGCCTACCCTACCTTCCCACCAATCATATGACAGTATGCTGGTTTTGGCTGGGATAGTTACTTTTCTTCAGAGTAGCCAGTGTCAGGTTGTGTTTTGGATTTGTGCTGGAAACAGTGCTGATAACACAGGGATGTTTAGTTGCTGCAGAGCAGGGCTTACACAGAGTCAAGGTCTTTTGTGCCTCTCACCACACCACACCACACCAATGAGGAGGCTGAGTGACACAAGAAACTGGGAAGGGACACAGCTAGAACAGCTGACCCAAGATGACCAAAGTCATATTCCATACCATATGGCATCATGTGCAGCATATAGAGCTGTGGGAAGAAGAAGAAAGGGTGGAAGTTTTGGAGTGATTGTGTCTGTCTTCCCAAGTACCTATCACAGATGATGGTGTCCTGCTATCCTGACCATGGCTGGACATCTGCCTGATGATGGGAAGTAAGGAGGAGATTGCCTACTTTGCTTTGTTCTCATGAGCAGCTTTTGCTGTAGCAAACTGTCTTTTCTCAACCCATGAGTTTTTTCTCTTACCTTCTGATTCTCTCCGCCATCCCACTCGGGGGAATGAGTGAGCAGCTATATGGCCCTCAGTTACCAGCTGGACTTAAACCACCATACAGAGTTGCAGGTAGGAACCACATTCCAAGGTCAAGCCAAAGAGTCTTAAATTAATGGCTCCTAAACCTCTTGCAGGGGCTGTCAGTATTTGTAACTAAATCAAGCATTTGAGTATGATAGTTCAGCAAATTTACAATAGAGCTGAATCAACAGCAACTTTAACAGCATTCTCTTTTTGGATTAAAGTGACCCTTCCTCTAAATCATTTTACTATTAAGTACGAGTTCTACAACTCTGTTTTTAAAGTTTCATATCTGGAAATGGTATCTACAATCATAAAATTTTCTGTAGCTTTCAAAATATTCTGTTGAGGATACCGTATCTTCTTTGAAGCTGGCTCATAAGTTGATATCATCACTGTGCAGGCACCACAGCCACCTCCTCCACAGCCATACTTAGTTCCTGTAAGACGGACTGAAAATGCTGTCATTAGGGAAAATAATTATCTGGTTCCTTTCTCGTCTTTATTCCACTCAAAGGCTTGAGACCACCTTTTTTCCTAAACCCCTAAGGAACACAGAATCAGTTTCTATCAGCATATGTATTGGATTTCTTTCTGTATTGGAATAAAATTTTCAATTAAAGCAAGATGGAAGCTAAGGAGTTACATGACCAAAATCCTACCCTCAAGAAAACAGAAAACTTGATTGTGATTTATTTTGGAAGAGGAGTAAGTTGGGACAGAAATGGGAAGTGAAAAATAGTTCTCCAAGTGAAAATATGAAAGGAAGAAATGCGTAATGGGCAAATCAGCTGTATATCTGAAATGCCAGTGGAATGCTAAAACAAATTTCCCAGTTTCTCCCAGAAGGCCCATTTATAATCAGGATATTTGCCTTGCATCTCATCTGAAAGATCACACTTCTGAGAGAAGTGCTCATTTCAGTAAATCTGGAACAGTGGTCACTCTAAAACTGTGAATCAACAAACTGCTAGTTTAATGTTCCAAAGCCACCAAAAGGGCCTTTTTGCCCCTCAAAATTCCATCAGCCTCAGGTTCTCATCACAAGATCTCCCATTTACCAGGAGAGAGACTATTACAAAGCTTCGTGACTTCTGTCAAGCTTTATATATACTGACCACTAGGTTTTTAGACTTCTTTATGAGGTGAGAGGGGAGGAACACAGACACATATTCATTGTGCCTGATGGCATAACTTTGTATGTTTAAAAAGCCAGGCTAAAAATACAGCAGCTCAGCTGAAGAATATTTGGATTAAGAAAGAGACATCATTTAGTGTGGTTGATTTATCTTAAAGGAATCACAACTTCCTTAATCTGGTAATTAAAGCTTGAATTAAAATTTATGAGAATTTTGTTTGAATAAGTCTTTCACATGAGTGACTTTAGGGAACAGACAAGAAAAGGATACGCCTCTTTCGCAGATAAGACAAGAGCATTTGTTCAGGATCAGCATTTTTCTCTATTATCTACAGCAAGAAAGTAAAAACAAGGTTTAATTAAGAAACCAAGGCCTCTCAAAATTCAGGGCACAGACTACCTTCACACAAAGCCGGAAGAGAATCCTTCTCTGGTTTCCTCTTAGAACTAAACTAATTGGCAAACACAGCAGGAGAGTTTTTGCTCCTTCTGGAAATTCCTTTTCAGACAGATAAATTTCCAGAAAAGAAGCGTTAGGGCACCTTGCAAGTACTAAAAATAACTGCTGCTCAGTGAAATGTTATACTGAGGGAACTGACCTTCGGTCACACTACAAATAAAAATACAGAACTTTACAGACAGCATGAAGAACTAACTAATGATTTGCAGAGCCTAAAGCCTCCCTGGCACTCTGACGTACTGGAAAAAAAACATGAGAGGAAGCCTGTAAGGCCACTGGCAGTAGCAGTTTCTTTGCTAGTTTTATTTATATTAACTTTCACTTGCTGTAAGAAACTGACAACAGAGAGCAGCAGAAATACCCACGTTCTTGATCTAGTACAGCACTTCTTATTCGGTCAGTTACAGTTGCTTTAGATCAACAGCCACTCCTTGCAATACTACCTTTATGGTCAATAGGCCAAATCTGGGCACTGGAGTCTTGCTTTCAGTTGTGCCTCTGAAAACCCGACACCATCAAAGATGAGAAGCCAGACAAACCAATGAAAAAAGTGGTTTTCTTACCAGCCAAGCCTGATACCCAGCTGAAAGTGTGTTTAACTTTGACACGGTTTTTCTCCCAAAAACAGGGAGACCTAGCCAAAATGTGATGCAATCATCCAACCTTCTTCTGGAAGTTTGTGTGAGGTTACACTCCCATGAATAAAGTGAGGAAGCCAAATCTGCGCCCTTCGGGGTTCTTTCAGACACAGCAGCCCCTCCTTCTCCAGGCTACACTTACCTTTCTCCCATTCACATAGAAAACGAGCTCCTCGGGCGCCGCGGCCCCTTGCAGAGCCATGGTTGGCAGCCCCGGACCGGGGGCAGCAGGGAAAGCCGAGCAGCTGGAGGCGCCTCGCTCTGCAGGGCGGGACCGCGGCACAGCGGGGCGGGAGAGCGGGGCTCCACCCGGCCCCGGGCTAACACGGTCATTGTTCTCCGCGTCCTCAGCTGACTGCGGGCGTTTCTGTACTTCGGCCTTTTAAGGTGTTCTTTAAGTGTTCCAAAGCTAAGGCATACCTCACCGTTTCTCACAGGACACAGGTGTTCCTGCAGAGCGGAACGGCAACATTATCACTGTGCACTGTTATCAAGTTCTTATAATAAAATCACCAAGAGTAATTTTAAACTGAGATAAAATCCAGCAGTGTAGTGATCATGAGACTAATAGGATTTTTGATTATATTTGTGTGATAATTGATAAAAGATTCGTGTTAAACACAAAAGCATTGGGGTTTGTATAAACCAGAATACTAAGCTCTGAAGTGAAGCATGGACACTAAATAAAGGAAATTATATGATAAAATCATTCTGTTTAAAATCACCTTGTTATGGTATATTATGTTATTTTATGTTACGTAATATTATGTTATGTTTTCCAAATAAGTTATATCGCCTACCAGCTTGCAAAATCAGACTTCCCAATAGCCCTTCCTGCCTTTGTCTGATCAATACTGCTTATCTCAAGGACCAGACTTCCAGAACTTCTCTGGTGGTTATCTACAAAGATGTTTATTCAACCACCACTGCTTATAACAACAAAAAAACCCAAAAATTATTGATTACAACGAGAAACCACAGTATAAGAAGAGGCTGCAAACCAAAGTTCAGTGAAGCGTGGAGTAGTGGGTGGTGACCCCTCACGTTCCCCAGCGCGCTGCTTGCTCTTTCTACATCAAATAAAGCAATCTAAATTTTGCTGAATATCGAGACTTTTGTCTCTCATTTATAACATCTGCATTCATAAAATAATCAGCAGTAAGGTCCAGGTATCATAGCCGTTTCTAAGGGCTACTTGTGCAGGCAAGGGTTTTAAGAAAAAATACTTTCTGTAAAATCAAAATATATGGAATTAATTTCCTACAAAATTTCAATTAGAGTAAACATGAGAAAAAGCAACTTTAAAGCTATATAAAGAAGTTCAAATTACCTTATCCTCAGCAAAATTATCCTAATTTCTGGTTATGGCTAGAAATTGATTTTTATGCCAAAAATCATGAGCTGCTTTTACATCATTTTTATTAGAAAGAGCTTCGAATATATCAAATGACCTGGTAAAACAAGCACATATAGTGAAGTTTAAAGACAATGCAACCTTCTTTATGTTGCTTTTATGTGATCATTCTGTGCAACAATTAAACTCAACCTAGGAAATAACAAAGCGAGTTTTCTCTGTATTCTATTATTGAACATCAATTTGAGCAACAAGAGTGAGCATAGAGAAAATAAGGAAAGAAGGGAAGTAGCAATAATATGATTTTATAGTTACTTAAAAAAGCTTCTGTGCATCTTCAGGCCACTTCCTTTATCCTTTCTTACTTTGAAAGATACCCACACTAAAGGAATGGAAGAAATGAAGGCATAAAGTCCTAGGCTTTTTACTTTTATTGAAAATTACATGCTTGAATTTGGGACACCTTAGCAGTCTAGCTGGTAACACCAGAGGCTGTATGGAACAACATGACCTTCACTGAAAAAATAATTAAGCCCATCCCCAAAGAGATTATTTATTTTCTGGGAAGATAAAAGCATGTGCCTCTGTTTCTAGCTTTCAAACCGCAGGCAGTAGAGAGAAACAACCATTTAAAAAAACATTGTGTTTTGCTGCTGCAGTGCCAGCACTGGGAACACAAGTTTTAACAGGTACTTCTTGAGGGTTTCTAATAACACAGCTGGTGATGTTGATAAATAGTGGAAGCTAGGAAGAACATTTCAATTAAATATAAAATAAATAAATTACAGACTCGGTAATAAAAAAGAAGGAAAAATGCTTAATAATTTCTGTGTGTACTTCTTTTTAAAAAGTAACATTGAAGAAGGATAGAATCGATCTTACCAATCATTTCTGCACCTCTTCATAATCGTCTTGCTAATGGGGTGACATACACAGCATGTTTCAGAAAGAAAAAGTCTGTCTGCTGAAACTTCCCAGATAATGTTAGCAGCTCTGTTTTGCAATGTGGATCACATTGCCTGGGTGATGAGGTAAGTTTTTTATTGGAAGAATTTTTATACTGATTGAATACTCTATTTGTACTGCAAGGTTCTATATGAAAACACATTGCTCTACTTACTGCTGTATATTTACCATCTTTACATGATCTTTGCAACTGGTAACCACAGCTAGACAACTCCCTGTTTAGGGAATAAATGTCCTCTTTGTAAACTACCTCACTAGTGATACATTTAACTCTAAATTCATTCATGGAAAGTCCTACAGGATCTTGAGGAAGCGGCCTTAAGGCTACAGGCCATAACAAAATAAACACAGCAGAAAATAGTTGTGGTATTACTTAAGTATTTGTAAAGAATATTTTTATGCCTCTTAGTGTTTATGGTTATAGTTCCAGACTTACATGTAGAATGGACACACCAGAAAGCCATATCCAGGAGTGTGTTTTGATATGTACGAGCTCCTTTTCTGTCAAAATACACAGCTGAAATTCTGGCAACTCACAGGAGAAGGACGTAGGTTCCTCCTGTTAAACTTCTTGAGATGGCTCTCAGCACATTTCTCCAGCCTGACTAGATCCCTCTGAATGGTGACACAACCATGGGGTACTTCAGCCACTCCTTCCAGTTTCTTATCAACTGCAGACTTGTGTAGAGTGCACTGGCTCATACAGGTTGTTAGTGAATGTGTTAATCACTGCTGGCAGCAGTGAAATCCTAAGGAGCTCTAATGTTTTTCCTCTAGCTGGACTATTTGGCACTAATCATAACCTTCCAGGTTTTCAACTCACCTTGCTGTGCCCTTAACAAACCCATACTTCGTCAGTTTGTCTGTGGAATGTTATCAGAGAAAATGTCAGAAGCCCTCCTATCATTGAGACAAGCATCTAGTGCTCTACCCTCACTCACCAAACTAGTTGTAGAAGACTATCAGGCTCATATAGCCTGACTTCCTGATTGCAAATCAATGCCAGCTACTCCCAACTACCCTCTTGTCTTTAACGTGTGTTAAAGACCTATTATCTCCATCAGCGTCCCAGCTTACAATGTCATTTACAATGAAATACAAAGAGTACATTTAAAAAAGAACGTTTCTAAGAATATATTCTATTTTTTAAAGAATATATTCTATTTTATGAATATACTTTTAAAGACTGTATTATAAATTTAAGAATATCAGTTATACCTCATAAAAAGAGACATGCTGCATCAGACAAAAGGTCAGGCTAGCCAAAGAACTGGTCTCTGAAAGTGTTCTTGGAAAAGGTACAAAAATTGGTCAAAGGAATAGTAAGGCTTCTCCAGAATCATCTTCCAGCCTTCAAAAATTTGCAGTTCAGGAACATCCTAATGCCAGAAATGGTGTTTCTGATAATTCCTCATAGATTTTTCTTCCATTAATGTGTCTGATCAGTTTTTAGGCCCATGTAAACATCTACTGCATATGCATGAAAAACCACCATCTGTAACTAAAATAAGGTTATCTCATCAAAATCTCTATCTCATCAAAAATGGTCTTCTGTTGTTAAAAATTAACCCGAACCTTATCCATTGTAATGTGTAAAAGCTGTGTGGGTAGTGAGCTATCACCTGCATCTGGCAGCATCTACAAAGATCCTGCCAGAAAACTGCCAGCTGCCAGCACATTATGGAATGCAGAGGGGAAGCAGTACAAAAACCTGAAAGCTGAATGTGTTACTTGTCACATTGGCACTCTCTATTGGAAACTCAAGGTGTTGCTTTGTCTGGATCCTATTTGCTACTGAATTCCTATTGCAGTGATTTTTTCTTTCTTGCTGCCTCGGGCACACAGTGCAGACACAACTTCCCTACATTATTTCTCAATGAGATTTCCTTATTGAAACCTCAGTGTGATTCTGTCAAATCCAAAAGTCAACTATCAAAAAAAGAGGGACTATCTCCATCTATTTCAAAAAATTAATAAAAATTTGGGATGTGTGTATCTGTTCCAACCAGCACTGAGAAATGGTTCCACTCAAAATAAATATGAAAAACTCACAGTACAATTCCCAAAGCTGGTTTATTTTTATTTCTCATTAAAACATATCTTTTCCAACAATTTAAGAAGTGCTGCAAACCATTTGAACAGATTATAAATTATTGACCAGCAATGCAAAACATGAGTGAGTCTAACCTATATACGCATTCCTCAGTAAGGTATTCTGTGCCCCTTTTATAGAGGTTCTTCTCCAAAAAATTTCATTGTGGAAGATCTTTACTAATCAAAGAACAACAAACACTTTATATTGCTAAACATTTACATATATACATAAACAATTGTACCCGTTTTAGAAGTATTGTCCATAAAGGCAATTCTCTATTCTTCAATAAAATTTTGATTTGCTTTTAAAATTTCCTTTATTTTTAACTTTGTAGATTGGGGAATTCAGGAATTGTGTATCTGTAAATCGATCTCCTCGCCTTAATTTGCTGTAAAGACAAGAAATAAAAGACATCAGGCACCTATCATCAAGCACCTATGCAACTACAGTAATGTAATCATAATTATTCAAATGCTAAATAGCATTAATGAAAGCTTGATACACTAAAGAAATTAAATTTGTGGTAAACAAGTATGTCTGAAAAAGCAAGATGTAGATAACTACCACTTTCCAAAATAATGCTAGAAATATTTGTCTTTTTATGTGACCTCTATCATATTAGGATATTTCTATAAAACAAAATTCAAAACTTATTTAAACCAAACACTTATCAGTACCCATTCAGGACAGTGTAAATCCAACTAAAATATAAATAGAAGACAATAATCTAAAATCTTGACTGACATCAACGTTTTTCTGTGTTATTAGTTACTGTTTCTTAGAAATACAAAACCTTATCATTTTGGGGTAAAAGAGTGGCAATGTGTCAAAATATAATACTACAGCATTTTGGCATATAAGACAATCAGTAAAATAAGTGTGACTCAAATCCCTTTCCAATTTTTTTTTTACAAGTTATCTGGCACAAATATTTCTGAATTGCCAATGATAAAGTGAAGACTTCCTACATTACTTTTAGCTTCTACTTTCCCTCATTCTCACTGCTTCAATTATTAGCTTACTCACAGAAATAAAAAATATTTTGAGGTTGTATGAGAACAGTGCTCCAAATTTTTTTTCAGTTTGTGCTTTATGTTCTTCTCCTGCCACAGTATTGCCAGAAAAAAAAGGCGTTTTAGACCTTTGTCATAAAGTAAATTGCTACAATCCTGTCACTCTCAACGCTGTTCCAGGGAAGCCTTTTACTATCTTTACCTCATGAATACACATCCTACTTACTAAACACACTCAACATAGTGGAACTGTTCTTTAAATTAATATTATACTTTAAAAAAATCCAAACCAAACAAAAAAACCTCAACAACTTTCTGGCAAAAACTTGCAGACTATTTTCAGAAGTAATGAACCTAAAGGTCCATTTATATTTAGATCTATTCATGTAAGGGCATATATATTAGTTTTCTTAATGGAAGTTTGGGTTTCAAATCCTCTTTTAAATTTTAGAAGTTATTTCACAATTTATGTCTTGTCTTTTAATAATCTTATATTATATACAGCTAGTTAAAGCAAAACTACTGAATTACATAATATTAGTACATAAATTTCTTTTCCATTTGACAAGATTACAAGGACATTATTATGGTATAATTTACCTTTAAGTATAACATTCATAACCGTTCATCTCTAAAGGGGTTTATATCATCATAAACATTAAGATTCACTGTTATTCTGCATTAGTCCAACCTATATTTTAGAATTTGAATACTACTGTTGTCTTACTTTGGCACTTGGAAATTCTGCCACACTAACTGGAGAAGCTTTATATCAACACTGAAGTATCTTTGCAAAAGAGATTTGTGATAGCTCAACTGTTTATTCGGGGGTTTAATAATCTTTACTGGGGGTAGTTATGTATGCAAAAGACAAGAACAAAAGCCCCAATTTATTGTGAACCTACCTGTGCAGACTGGGCTCCTTGTAGCAAACAGTGGATCTGCTTCGTCTCAGTGGTGCTGAGTCTTCTGAAGTTTGGGGGGATTTAGGTACAGGAGTGTGAAATTGTATACTAGTATTTGTCAGATCTTGGAAAGCTTTTCTCCCTGTAAATGCAGTAGTTTATATGCTTAATTTTAAATATTTCTTGAATCATTATGCAAATTCAATTAATAATTATTTTTAATATGTGTTTCTTAATTCAGGTACATTGGTTACTGCTCCTACACTAACACAAAATGGGATAGATGACCAAAGAAAGTGCTACTAGAGCAGCTTTCATCCTGTACAAACCTGGAGCTGTTTGAGGTCTGCCTTGGCTCATGGGACACTTCAGAGCAGCCCCATGACTGCTCAGGACTCCCTTACTGCATTTACAAAAGTAACACTGCACACAGCTCCTGGTATTGAACACAAGGCGAGGGCACACATGTATAATCTGAATGTTCAAGCTGTACATGAGTTTTTTAGTTCTGCATTTTCCAGCTTTATGCCTTCTTTTTGGGCCTATGTGTAAAAAATGAGCATAGCAATCTTCCAATTCAAGAACTGGATTTGGATGTAGGATGAAAACTTAGCTGTCTTTTGAACTACGCTTAAATAGATGAAGATCAAATAACTACCTTGCTTTTTATGCCAGCAGTGTTTGATACTGCTGATCACAAGGGCTTACTAATTTACTATTATAGCTACTAAAAGTATGGGATCCTTTTTCCATGTTCCAAAGAAAGAACATGAGAAAATGCAACTGCAAATCACAGAGAGTGAAACCTCACACAACAGTCTCTTTATGCCAGTGTTCCTATTCTGTTCTCATGTAAAACAGGAGATTTTTTTGGCCATTGTGTCCCAGCATTCAAATGAAGCTGAGGCAGTATTAGCTTAATAGTTTGGGATTCAAACTATTAATTTGAGCTAGGATACTGTCTAGGTGTTGGGGCTTTCTCAGACTATGAAATAAACAGGAACTTTTTGAGAATACATATGTTTACAAAACAGATCCCTAATGCTATGAAATTTGAAAGCTATGTTTTGAAGTACACTTAAATTTTTGTACAGATGTGTTAGTTATATATTCCATTAACTCAATTACATTGCATTATAATAATTGCATTTATTATAGAAGAATTTAAGCCTATCTTCCAGACTACATTGAACTTTTATTACGTTCTTAATGTATCTTAGTTAAAAAAAGAGATTGTCACATCAAAGTTGGCACATGGGCAGTTTACAGAAAAACTCAACATACTTCTTTTAGATATCAGAATTCCTGTTGAGTTGTAGTGTTTCTAAAGAAACAAAAATTAAATCTTTAAGTACAGCTATTTTTCCATTTAAGAAGGAAACTGTGTACTTCTATCTTGTTTCCCTTAGATAAAAGCTCAAGCTATTTTATCTTTCAATCCCCAAATTTTTGAATGTAATGTAATTCTTCAAAAAAGGAATACATGCTTTAACTAAAATTGCTTCTCAAGAATGTAGACTACTTACATCTGCCCTAAAAAGTATCATCTTGGGATATATTGAAAAGCAAAAAGGATATTAGTCACCACAATTTAAAAGATTATTGCAATTGATACATGATATAGAAAATTTTGATGATTTTCATTCTTACTTTTTTTCCACTCTTGTTTTATCTACTCTAATAAAGCAACGAGAGAACAGAATTAAGAGAAGACATGTTACCACTATTTCAGGCACTACCTAATTCAAAATGCCTTGCTTTTTCTAGCCCACACACTTACCATGACAAGGTGTCAGAGTATTTTTGTTACTCTGTTTAGAAGTATGATCCATATTTTGTTCTACTTTTTCAGCATCCGGTGCTTCATTATGATCATTTTGCCCATGGATTTCAGAGCTTTTCAATATAGAGAAGTTGATGGAAGCATTATCAAGAGCTGGGAGCTCCACATTGGAAAGACCTTCCTGGGAAAGGCTTTCTGCCTTACATGGCATATTCTTACAGCATTCAACTTCAATCACAGGCCTCAACTTACTCACAAAGGAATTCATTTCATGAGGGACTTCCTGGTCATCCAAAATATTCTGATCCCCTTGATCAATATGCCTGAAATAACTTTTTTCTTGTCTGGTCTCAGTAATATCAGAACTAAACCTCTGTTTCTGCTTTATATGCTTATCAGGAAAATTACTTATGTGGGAGGTGTTTTTTTCTGTTTTTTTGGCCACTGCTGAGGAATCTACTTTCTTTAACCTGTTAGCAGCATCATCAACATGTTCTTTAGCTTCTGGTGTATACAGAGCTCCACCATTCTGAGTAACTAAAGCTACTTGCATTTGCTGAGTTAAAGTTACTTTCTTTCCAGTCTCTGCAACCAATGAATCCTTATTTTTTAATTCTTCATTTTTACAAACTGAGAAGCGCGTAAGATTTTCCGTTGGTATTATGCATGCTTTCCGGCTGGCCTTTGCCAATGTACGCTTCAATCTGCCTGGTGAGAAATGGCTGCTCTTTCTGTCTGCCTTCTGACTAACTTTATGAGGGCTGTCCTTTTCAGTTTCTCCACCTTGTCTATAACTACTTTTTTTGTTGATTTTTCTCTGTGTAATGTTCTTCTGGTCTTGTTTCTTCTTGCTGCTGTCACATTGGTTTACCTCGGTTTGAGATTTTTTTGAAATATATTCTCCATCCTGGCCATTTTCCTCTCTACAGGATTTTGCTGTGTTTGCTTTGGAAAGGTTTTGAGAAGTTTTCCTCTTTATTGTTGGTTTGTTATCTTTCTCATTTGTATTCAGAAAGCCCTGCTGTAAAGAAGGCAATACATCAGAAATGCTATCCTGGAATGGTAAATTTTCAGCACAATGAACTTCTGGTGGGATCTTGTTAACAGATGAGCTCGAGTCTGTTTTTCGTATTCTGCTGTCCACTTCTCCAGACATTTCTGAGGAAATTCCTTTATTTGTCTCCAGTTTTCTTGGACTTATTACATTAACCTGGTATGTCCTCCTGGCATCCTTAGCTTTACCTGTTCTACTCTGTTGCTCTACAGAATTTCCTGTAGGCAGCTGTTCTGTCTGACTTTGGAATAGCTGAGTTTGTGAATCAGTAGTTTCTGAAATTTCACTACTGTCAGCCCTAGAGTGCCTTTCTTCTGCATGCACATTTGAATGGACTTCAGTCTTGCTTTTAATTTTTTCTTTGTCCTTCTTAGAATATTTTACTTTTCTGAAATTTGGTAATATTTTGTCAGAATTGGCATTATTAATTTTATTTCGGTGCAATTTATAATTGCCTTTTGCTGTAACTGTGAGTAGTTCACTTGCATCACTACAAGTCAACTCCATATCAGCATCATAAACAGTTTCTTCAGGCTTCATCTTGTCAGTAAAAAGCAGCTTGTTAAAATCTGTCTTATTTTCACTGTTAAATGTAAGAGGTGAAAGAATAAGCCAAGACAAGTCACTTGAATCTTCCTGCAAATTCCTATCATTGGCATTGCTGCTACCATTGATATCATGATGAGGCAGATTCAATGACCTACATTTTTTATCAAAATCCTTTACATTAGGTTGAGGTTTTGACTTACAAAGTACTGCATTTTTCTTTCTTTCAGTCACATTTTCATAGGATGGCAATGAACTACCATGATATTGTTCTGTAGGCTCCTCAGACTGTTCTAAGGATTGCGTATCTTTTCCATGAGTCAGGAAGGCACTATTGCAACTTAATTCTGCACACAGCTGATGTTCTGCAAAGAGAAAAATTTCAGCAGCTTGGGGAGAAGAAGAATGGAGTGTAGTTATCTGCACAAAACTACTGAATGCTGAACCAGAAGTATGGAAAATTGCACTTTTTTTAAAAAACTGAATACATGCATTCTATGGTTGGTCATTAAAAATATAGTAAACTGAAGCTAATTTCATACTTTACTGAAGTTGGACTTTTAAAAATGGAAAAGAAATAAAACTCTTTTTCTGTAACTATGTCAGCTATTATTTGGTTATCTTAGTTATGTAATTTCAATGAATATTATTCTATACATGATTGTCAGGACACCTATACCTATGGCTGAGCTTTTTTTTTTTCAGTAGTTTATTACAGTTTAGGAATCTTACTATACTTTTTACTATACCTATTACCTTGAGTAATGAATTATTAAATACTAATTCTCAGAGAGCTTGAAAAATTAATCACACAGAAATACATCATACCTTTCAAAAATCTGTTCTTGTCAACCATTGGTTCTGTTTCAATTAACTTTTGATTATTTGTACCAGAAGGCAAGAGTGATGCAAACTTGATTTGATCTGCATGCATTTCCTCTGTCAAATTACTGATACATTTGTAAGGATTTGATGCTTCACCCAGAGAAGGGCTACCTTGCTGCTTTGCATTAGCTGTTGTAATGTAAGGAAGCTTTGCTGACAATTCTACAGATCTGAAAAGAGAAAATTTTACTGTGAAGATTTTTGTTACATTTTCTTTCATGACATTTAATTGTTTAAAATGTTCCCTTAATAATATGAAATAGCAGAAAACAGGAAATCAAATATGATATTGGGTTCCGTCTTGGGGCAAATGTGTTTTTGATGATAGAGAAATCTGCTTTGGGCTCGTGAGATCACATGAAACATGCAGTGACTTACTCAAACACAGATTTTGTCTACCACTCTCTCTCTAAATTCTGAGTTGCAAACAGGCAATTTCTGGATTAAACAGGAAATGGTTTCTCATTACCTCAAAACTACCTAGGACAATATACATAGATTAGCAGTAAGAGAAAGCCCCAGACACCAACCACCTTTGGCATTTAATACATCCACCTACCGAGCCGACTGACGTGCGCCCCTGAACTTGTGACCAGCAGGGCTGCTTGGGCCAGCTGACAGGGGAAAGGAACTCTGGAGATCCTTTCAAAAGAAGAACAGCAGGCAAATACAAATAGTTAAATATTATCTTACATTTTAAGTATTGGAAATATCCACAGGGGAAAAAACCCCACAAAAATGAATGGAAGAAAAATACATGCACTGATGGTAGACACATGATATTCAAACACATGCATTAATTTTAAAGCAAAATATTTTGTTACAAAATTCATTAAAATACATAACAAAATTTTACCCCAAAGGAATGTACAGACTTTCTAAATGTAGCTATAACTCATGAAAAGTGCATTATACATATAGAAACACAGAGAAACACTAAGCAAGTTGAGAACAGACAGCACGGTGTTTTCCTTTGTTTAAAATTAATTGTATTTCTTCCATGACACAAGTACTAACATGGACTATGTTTTCTAGTTAAGTTTCCAGATGTAAGATACTTATTGCAGCACTAAGCAAGGAAGGCAGGTAGCTTGCTCGCTACGCACTGAAGTGCTAAGCTCTTTGTTTTTAACCATATGATCCTACTTTCCGGCTGATATTTAACTTTTAGGTACTTTGGAAACTAGACAAAATCCTAAATTTTCAGTTCAGTAAAATTAAATCTATTTTACCACACTGGTTTAATCTCAAGTTTTAAGGAATTGGGGTAAATGTTTTACAACACAAATAGTATTTCAACATCGCACCTAATTTCATGCTTTGAAAAATCTCATCCTGGAAGATGAGTTCAATATGATAAAGTTGAAAAAACATCTTACCTCAGAAGGACTGCTTATTTCTATTGCAGTTAAGAGATTTTCGTTCAAAAATGCATCTATTCCAATAAGAGTTTTATTCTGCATGTAATAGAAAAAATATATTTTAAGTGGCTTCTGACGTAAGAAGAGACAAGATATAAAAGGTGCATCTATGCTGCAATTTTTTTTTAGACTTAATTGAGCACAAACTTATCTCAATACCTATAAGCATAAAGGTGAACCTGGGACTAAAATAGCTATAGATATACAAACTGATAGACAAAATAGTTCAAAAAAAAGCTACAAAAGAAAAATGAAATGTAAGTATTATGCTGTCCAGTGATATAACTTCACAAATCTGAGACATGTATTTTAAGTCACCACTTTAAGAAGTAATATGAAGTTTCAAAAAAAGATAAAAGCTTAGTTTAGCTGCTCTAAGTTTAAATGATATTATTTGCAGCATACCAAACAGGTTAGTTTTTGACGAAGTGAGATATTATGAAGCTGGAGTTTTTCTACTTCCTTCTGAAGAAAAATCTTCTCATTCTTTAGCTTGCGAGAATTTTCTTTTTCAACACTCAAAGCCAAAGCTAATGCTTTGTTATTTTGTTGTAATGATACTTTAAACATAGATGAGTTATCTAAAGGAGACAAAATAATAATATTTTCAACAGTTTCAATTCTAGGCCCTCTGTGTGAATTATCACTATATGACAACATTTTTATCTGTAGGTTCTATTGCAACAGCAGCAAAGCCCAACACTTTCCAATATAAAACTGTTTATGTGGCTGTCATTCTAATGACTACTTTTGTCTGTTTCAAGCTTATTTCATGCATAGAGTCTGGATTTTTAGAAATAAGGTTATTTTAAGAAGAAAACATTCAAAAATTGATAGTTTCACAGGCATAAAAATGTTGACAAATTTCTTTAAAAATTAATAAATTTTACAAATTAAAATGTTTAAACATTCTCATAATAAATATGAGTTTTGACAACACAAAGAAAAAATACATATTTATATTCAAAATATATATTCCCACTGTCCTAATGAAAACCTACCTATACCTATCTGTTACAGAACGTTTTAACAGGCAGAATTTCAGCTAATCATGTTAAATACAACTGCTATTCCTTTTGAAGCCAGACATTCTAAGTACAGTATACAGCTTCAGTTTTATTTTAACAAGACTTACTTATTAATTTAGTTTTGATTTTAGAAGCTAAAGCAGCATTCCATTTTGCAGTTTGTAAGACTCCATCCCTCTTCTTCATCCATCCTTTAGCAGCATTTGGGGTGAACACAGCAGATGATGACTTAGCAGTTGCACCTTTATCCATTAAAATGAATCTGTACACCGTCAAGCGGAACGTCCAAATAAATAAATAAATGATCTTTTTGACGCTTTTCAAAGTTGAGTTTATTGTCTTACGAGGATTTCTGTGTCTGAAGTTGAAAGAATTGCTTCAGTCTTTCCCTTTGTTCAGTTAATTAAAACAGATTAATGAATTAATCAGCACAAAAGACATCAACACAGGCAAAATACTTAACTAGTAAAACATGAAACCTGAAAAGATCATAGGTTTTTTAGTTTGTCTATTCCCACGCTAACCATCCAAGTTGAAACCCCAAAGGTTCTACCACTTCACAATACGACCAGACCAGACTGTGCTTTGTCAGGACAGATCTAAAGCGGACGCATTTAAATAAACCGCATTACAAAAGGCGCAAAGTTAACCCGAAAGAGAGAGAGAGGAAGAAAAAACGAGCGAGAGAGCCGCGGAGACCGGCCGGCCAGCAGAGGTGCGGGAGGGCGAGGCTCCGCCCGCCCTCGGAGCCCGCAGAACGCCGAGAACTCTCGGAGCCCTCAAAGCTCTCGGAACTCTCAAGAGGACGCCGAGTCCCCAAAGCACTGAGAACCCTCGGAACCCTCAGAACCCTCCGAGCCCGCGGAGTCCCCAAAGCCCTCAGAACCCTCGAAGCCCTCGGAGCCCGCGGAGTCCCCAAAGCCCTCAGAACCCTC